TCAGCAGCAACAGAAGACCATCTCAATTGGACCCTTGAAAAGAAAGTAGTTTCCAATGTTTGCTGAAACTTGCCAGTTGACCGATTCACTTTATAAGAACAAGCAGCTTGGTCTGCTTTAATGATTCTCTTTTTCCTGGGATAGGAAATTCCCATTACTTTTGATGGTTATCTCCAAAATAATAAGAGAAACCAGCAGGCACACAGTGTATGCTGTGGATATTTCCACGCTACGCATCTCCGGATGGAATGCTTAATGAGAATACCCACAATACCGTATGTAAAATTTATGTGTAAAATAGATTTACTTTCATATCCACTTTTTGCCATTACCCAATGCGTCCAACTTCCATTTAAGCCAGAACCTATTGTGGATTGCAAGATACTATTATGTGTAGTCTAGCATTTAATTTAGCTTGTTGAGAAGGTGGCTAAATTGTCACCTTAGCTTGGTAAAGTCGATTTAAAATTTTGTTCACTACCTAAGCATCTAACAAAGATGGTTCTCTTTTATAAATTGAGCACAAAATAAAGACCCTAAAGATTATATCCTGGGAGCGAACTTCAGTTAGCAGAATTGCTTTGACCCACTCGCAAAGAAAGATGTCATTGGGCAAACCAAAAATACTGATAGATTTCAGAGGTTTTCTACAACTTTTTTTTCCAATTTAGTTGCCTATATATTTCTTATCCTCATCTTCAAGGCTTTTAAAATAATTGTAGTATTTAGCAGATTAATGTAATTGAAGTGCATTAATATGAAGTGCATTAATATGCATTAATATCCATGTTATTGGATATTAACATAACTGGAAAGTTTTTTTATACGACTTGTTTTAATACTGGTACTGTAGGTGGAAAGAAAGAGAAAGAAAGAGGATCTAGCATTGAAGGTGGAGAGAGAGAGGCTGGCATTTTTTTTGATCCCTGTCATTGTGGATATCGGGCTCTGACTGTATAATTAAGCGTGACCATTTTGTGGTCCTCAACAGCAAGGTTCCCTGTACAGTAACCCCTGTTGCTTGGTTAGGATTTCAGCTTTGGAGGCTTTTCATTTGGTGCAGAATTCTAGAAGTTGTTCAAGGTCAAGTGTATAGATGTGTCAAAATTATAACAATATTGTTATCATAAGTACTTTTGAGATTTCCCAAAGTGTTAGCCCACATAACCATCTTTTGGCATGATTTATGTTGTTAGCATGTACACCATGTGTAGACACTAACCATGGTCAACTGCCATTTTCCTTAGTTACAAACCTTCATGGGGCCACCTGACTATTGGTTTCCTTCACTGACACTGGCTTTAAAACCACATCCCTCCCAGAAGTCTGTCTCCCTGGAGTCAGTTAACTCAGAGGCTACTCTTTTTTTTTCCTCAAAGGTGATAGATTTTATTTTAAAAAAAGCTACATCTGTATGAGTCTTGTCGCTTCATTTACCATAGATTAATACTATTGGATTGTGTTTAAATTATATCAGCCCCCAGCTGTACATTTTGCTCATTTGGACTGTATGTATTTAGCTGCCTAATGCACTGATGCTGCAAAATATATTATTTCACACTCCAAAATAAGATGACTGTCATAAATTAACTCTTAAATGATCATAATCCTGCCTAAAATCAAAACGTTTACATAATTTAAAAAAAAATAGCTTCTGCTTTTACAGAAAGACAGTAAGATTTGTTTCAGTGGGACTAAATATGGTCTCTGTGAACAGGTTTCAGACAATACCTGTGAAATTCTGAATGCCTCTCTGCCATAAGGAAATTGTTCTCTTTATTCTTAAGAGCTGAGTGACTTGATAATAATTTTAAAATTCTGCTGGCTGCATTAGGTGGTAGTTTGTCCCTGTCTCTTATTTATTTTAATGGAAACCCTTGTGGTGACCTGGTTGTGATATTCAGGTGCATGCACAATATAGGATTAATATGACAATTGTTTTTATCTGGATAAATGTTTCCTTTCTTAAGTGAATTTGTAATATTGCTCAGCTAGGTTTCATATCAGTCCAATTAGAGATTTATAAGTGATGAACCATGTTTATTTGTGGAAGTGCTGACTGATCCATCCCATTCACCAATGGAAAGCTGTGCTATCAATATGCTATTTGTGTGCGTTTTACAGATCAATCTATAAAGAGTGACCTAAACTAAAACCATCTTAAAACTTCTAAAAGTTTTTAGTTTGTGGTTAAAAGTAAATCTCTGAAGATTTGCAATACATCAGGTATTCTCTGAGGGCAGTCATGAAAACCAGTGAACAGATGTTCAGAGAAAACTTGTGTGGAAATGTATATTCTGTTTCATAGAATTACATAGATTGTACCATTGGAAAAAGGCCATTTTCTCAACTAGTTTGTGTTGGTTTTTTATACTCCACATGAGTCTTCACCGCTACTAATCACCTTCTCGATACACATACCCTGCTATATCCTTACTCTCATGCATGCATTAAGTTTCCTCTTAGATAAATGGTTACTTCAAAATAACCTAGTTCACCCAACTACATGATCCTTGCATACCGTGAGTAATAATTATCAAGAGGCATAGGAAAATCTTATGAGCACATTTCTTTTTTGAGGGCAGATTATGTTCTTCCATTTGGAAAAGTCCAATCTGGTCATGCAATGTTACTTCTATTTTATGCCGTATTTCCTGGAACTGCAGTCGTATTTGTGGCCAGCATATTCTGGCCAGTCGGTTTGAAGTTAAGTAACTGATTTTCTTATTTTGAAAAACATATTTCACATTTTGGTAGTGTGTTCAATTTATCACTTTTGGCCTAAGTAATTGAAGAGAAATGATAGGGGATTCTTTCTGGCATGTGGGATTGATGTGTACTCTTAAAACAGTTCCTGAAAATGTGTCAATTTCTTTAAATGGTTATTTGTCCTTCTCAACGTTTAAGAATGGAGTCAGTTGTATTGTAGGTGGATGAAAGATAGCAGCTATCTCTCAATTGGCGTATCAACAAGTAAGTGGGCCTGTTTTAAATTATGTCCATAGAATTACTGCTAATGTAACATTGGCAAGATATCAGTTATTAAGTAACTATAGTTATATAAGGTACTTATTGGAATTAGAAATTGTTAAACACATATTTAAACAAGTTATCAGTTTACAACAGAAATCTGGAGAGCTGCAAATATAACTAAAAACTAAGACCTATGAATATTGAACATTCGTGCATTTTGTAAAATTCTTTCCATATTGCGTGTTACACAATCAGCATTAACGACAAAGGATTGTACTAAATTATAGCTATTGTTTTAAAACATACCACATTTTATTTTGTGCACAATTTAGCCACATTAAATAGAACCTATTAGAGTCCTATCGTGGATAAGTGTACTGTGGAGTCCTATAGTTCAGTGGGTAGAGCACTTGCCTTGCAAGCGAAAGGAACTGGGTTAGATTCCTGGCAGGGAGAAACATTGGGCAAGTTTCCTTACTCCACACTCCTCTGTTTACCTAGCAGTAAGTAGGAACCTGATTGTTGGTCGATTGGTGGATCGCTTTTCTCCAGGTAATAATCCCTTTTGGTAAATAAATTAATAATATAATAATAATCCTTGAATTTGATATAGCACTTTTCACGTCTTCCAGACGTCTCAAAGGGTTTAACAGAATATACTGTAAACTAAAGACTACACTTATAATTTGTCTTTGTAAAAGATCAAAAGTTCAAGATTGTCCTCACCTTTAAGGCCATCCATGGCCTTGCTCCCTCCTACATCTCTGACCTGCTGACTCCCTACCAACCTGCCCGCTTCTTCCATTCATCAGGCTCCGGTATGCTCCATGTCTCCTGCCCGACCCGCTCTGTCTTTGGTGGCCAGGCTTTCAGCCTCTGCCCCCACACTCTGGAACTCCATTCCACGGTCCCTTCGCCTCGCTTCCTCCTTTGCAGCCTTCAAAGCCGGTCTCAAGACCCTTCTCTTCGACGATGCCTTTGGTCTCCCTCCCACATCTCTGCCTTCCCTCACCCCTACACTACCCCTCCTCCATGCTCGGGCCCCGACAACTGACTGTTCAGCGCTTTGGGACGTCCTCCCAACGTGAAAGGCGCCCTATAAATTAAATTTTATTGTTGATGTTTGTAGTTTGGGAAATGATAGCTATTTGAGCAAAGCCTAATTTTGAAATCGGCCAGTATTTTTAAGTTGAAAATGTGCCAGTTCCTTGTATAAATGGGAATATCCCCATTCTCATTTTTGTTGCCATATCAAAAACAGCATTTCAGATGTTTGCATGCTGAATTATATGTGCGTATGATAGATATTTGATACTCATTTGTATTTTGTCAGATTTTAGATGTTGTTAACTGGTTGTATTCCATTGAAACAAAATGTAATGGCAAAACAAGCAGGGATTTGATTTATAAGTATAACCAATGAGAACATATTTTGCCATGCAAGGGCAGTGCTTTTATAGGCTGTTTATAGGAGTTCAGTGTTCTCTTTTTTTCTACCATTCGGCACACAACACTACTAATTTTAGAATTTTGTTTAAATTGGGTTGACTGTTTCCCTTAGTTTGCAATAACTACTACAATATTGGAATATTAATTAATTAATGTTATGCTCATGCAGTGGTTATAATTCTCTAAATAGCAAATCCCACATATTGCAACAGTTATGCTACAAATTATCCTGTTCCCACTTTGCAAAATAAGGAAGAGGGACAAGAAAGAGAGATGCTTGAAAAAAATTTTTTCTCTTACTACAACCAGAACACCTGTGTCAGCCTGGCTCACTCTTGCCTCAGAGCCAGAAGGTTGTGGGATCATAACCCACATCGGAACTTGGAATCACATTGTCTAACCTGATGCTCCAACACAGTACTATGGATGTGTTACGTTGATGGAGGTACCATCCTTCGCAAACTGGCTGCCACTAAATACAGTCAATCCATTTTACGGTATACTCTGTAAGGATTATTCTAAAATGTTTTGATGAAGATATCACTATTGCTTACCATGTTTTTTCAACTCCTTTTCAGGAATGTCCTTATCAGCTGGATCATCTCCTCTGCACTCTCCAAAAATTACTCCACACACATCCCCTGCCCCTCGAAGGAGGAGCCATACTCCAAATCCAGCTAATTTCATGGTACCTTCCAGTGCCTCTACATCTGTATCTGATGCAGTTTCGCAACCTCCATCTTCTGGCCAAGTGATACAGAAAGAAACTGTGGGAGGCACCACTTACTTCTACACTGACACAACGCCAGGACCACTTCCTGGAATGGTGTGTAAATGTAGGACTTATTTTGTTTAGTTGTAAAACATAATGCTGCAACAAAATATCAAATGTAGATGAAGTAGTGTAATGCTAAGTAAGCTAGTTCTGTGGAACAAATATTGTACACCACAAATGTATAAACTTTTGAACATAAACTTTTAATTTCAAGATTGTGGAATCGTGCCCTACATAGTCTAGGTTGACATCCCAATACAGTGTTGGAGGAGCATTGTATTTGTGGAGGTGTCAAACTTTAGATGGGACGTTAAACCGAGGTCCCATCTGCCTGTTCAGGTGAATGCCAAAGATCATGTATTTAAAGCGAAGGGACCGGAGTGAAGTGGGAACAGAGTGAGAAGGAATTGGGTGAGAGTGGGAATTAGATGCAGAGAGGGAAGGAGGTGCTAAGTGAACTACATAAATAACTAATAAAATAAGTAGAAATGATAGCACAGGCAGTGTCAGGAATGCAGTATGTGGGAGTTTGTGGACTGTGAGACTGTCCTGGACTGTCACGTCTGCAGTAAATGTCTCTCGCTTAACACACTCTTGCTCAGAATCATTGAGCTGGAGTGTGAGTTAGACACACTCCGACAAGTAAAGAAGGGGGAGGAATTTCTGGATAGTTCTAAGCAGAACTCAGCCATGCCCCAGAGGAAAGCGCAGGTACAGGAAGGGGATAATAATAATCCTTGCATTTGATATAGCGCTTTTCACGTCGGGAGGACGTCCCAAAGCGCTTCACAGAACACACTGTAAAGTGAATTGACTGTATATTTGTGGGCGAACGCGGCAGCCAATTGCGCACAGCAATGTCCCACAAACAGTCGTAGATTGAATATGACCAATTTATTATTGTTTTTGGTTTTGGAGGGCTTATTATTAGGCGTGTGGAGTAAGGAAACTTGCCCAAGGTTTCGTCCTGCCTGGAATTGAACTCAGGTCTCTCGCTCGCAAAGCGAGTGCTCTAACCACTGAGCTACAGGACTCCACGATGGTGTGACTGTCAGTGAGCCAGGTAGCGGGAACACAGGAGAGGTAGAGGAGGAGGACTTGCCAACAGGTACAGTGTACTTGCTACCTGTGAGCACAAGGAGAAAGACTGTGGGGGGGACAGCCATAATGCAGACCAAGGCACCGTGGTTGAAGGCTATCCGAAGGGGGAAGGAGCAGAATAGAAATGTAGTAGTGATAGGGGATTCAATAGTTAGGGGCATAGATAGCATCCTCTGTAGCCACAAACGAGAGTCTCGAAGGGTGTATTGCCTACCTGGTGTAAGGGATATCTCGAGGTGGCTGGAGAGGAATTTGGAAATGGAAGGAGACAGATCCAGTTGTTGTGGTCCATGTTGGGACAAACAACATAGGTAAGAACGGGGAGGTGGTCCCGCAGAGGGAGTTTCAGGAGTCAGAAACTAAATTAAAAGACAGGACCTCAAGGGTAATAATCTCTGGATTCTTACCTGAGCCACCTGCAAATTGGAGTAGGGAGAAACAGATTAGGAAAGTTAGAACACATTGCTAAAGGATTGGTGTGGGAAAGAAGGATTTAATTTCATGGGACACTGGTACTATTACTGGGACAGGAAGTAGCTGTACCAATGGGACAGGCTCCACCTGAACTGGAAAGGGACCAGTGTCCTAGTGGAAAGGGTAAATAGGGCTTTGTCAAAGGCTTTAAACTAGTAAAATGGGGGGAGGGATCAGAAGGAAATGACATAAGCCCAAATACAAAATAAACAGATGAGAGTATAGGTCAGACAAAACTAAGGAATAAGGAGAACATAAATGGTCAGGGAATTAATGCAATTATAGAACAGAAGTGTGAAAAGACTCAAAAATAAAGTGAGAGGAACAAATAATAAAAATGAGTTAAACTGTCTGTACAGCAATCCAAAATAAAACACGAGAACTGGAGGCAATAATTTGTAGTGAGGAACCAGATGTAGTACGGATTACCGAAACATGGCTACAGAAAGAACAGGACTGACAATTAAACATTGCCAGGTTTAATATATTTAGAAAGGATAGAAATGGGAAAAGGGCGGTGGAGTAGCTGTACTTATTAGGGATAACATAATGGGAATAGAAAAAAGGGACATAGCCATCAGTAAGATAGAAACAGAATTTGTGTGGATAGAGATAAAAGATAAGAAGGGATCAATCACATCAATAGGGGTACTCTACAGACCACCTAATAGAGGAAGAGGAAGAAATCTGCAAGAAATTAGGGAAATGAGTAAAAGATATACTGTTACAATCGTGGGCGATTTCAACTACTCCCAAATTGGCTAGAAGAGGTAGGTAAAGGAGATAAGGGAATGGAGTTCCTTCAATGTATACAGGACTCCTTTCTTACCCAGTATGTAAGAGGCCCAACAAGGGAGGAATCTCTGCTGGATTTAGTAATGGGAAATGAACCAGAGCAAATAAGAGAAGTAAGAGTAGGGGAACATCTAGGGAATAGGGACCGTAATTTAAGGTTTAAGTAAAAGATTGTGAAGGACATGAGAATGGCAAAGACCTGGGTAATAGATTGGAATAAAGCTGACTTTATTGGAATGGAACTTGGGAAAATAAACTGGAAAACAATATTGGCAACAACAACAAGATTCCATTTATTGAGCGCCTTTCACGTCGGGAGGACGTCCCAAGGCGCTGTACAGTTGGGTCAGGACCCGAGCAAGGGGGAAATGGTCAGGGTGAGGGGAGGGAAGGGAGGGAGCGAGGAGGGGGAAGAGAGTCGAGAGGGGAGCTGAAGGCACGGTCAAAGAGAAAGGTCTTGAGACCGGCGTTGAAGGAGGAAAGGGAGGAGGCAAGGCGAAGGCACTGGGGGATAGAGTTCCAGAGCCTAGGGGCTGAGAGGCTGAAGGCCCGGCCACCGATAGTAGGGCGGTTGGGGCGGGGGATGTGGAGCAGACCGGAGCCAGAGGAACGGAGGGTACGGGCGGGTAGGTAGGGGGATAGTAGGTCGGAGAGGTAGGAGGAAGCAAGGCCGTGAATGGCCTTGTAGGTGAGGATGAGGATCTTGAATTCGATTCTCTGGGGGATGGGGAGCCAGTGGAGGAGGCGAGCGAGGGTGGGAATGATGTGGTCGCGAAGCCTGGTGCGGGACAGTACACGAGCTGCAGAGTTCTGAATGACCTGCAGCTTGTGGAGGGAGGTGCCGGGAAGGCCGGCGAGGAGAGAGTTCCCATAGTCCAGCCTTGAGGTGATAAAGGCAAACAGCGATAGAGCAGCAGTGGGAGACATTTAAAACGGTGATCAATAGAATCCAGGAGAAATATATAAGATAAAGCTAAACAATAATGAGACACCGTGGATGAATAAAAACATAAGGGGAAAGACTGGGTAAAGGGGCGTTCACTAAGTTCATAAACAACAAGGGCAAGCATTACAAAAAAGAATACAAAGCGGTCAGGAAAGAAGTCAAAAAACAATTAGGAAGGCAAAGCGGAATTATTAAATTATCAAGGAATGTAAAAAGAAATAGTAAAATATTCTACAGACATATCAATTACAAAAGAAAAATAGGAATAGGGCCACTAAGGAATGGGCATGGTAAGCTCACAGGCAGCAACAGCAAAATGGCAGAAATATTGAACAATTACTTTGCCTCAGTATTTACCAGGGAGACGGATCAGGTGGACATGACAGAAGAGATCAAAAATTATATAAATACATTTAATAAGGCCACAAAAAAAGCAAACCAAGTGTTGGGGTTCATTTCAAGAGGGATAGAAATGAAAAGCAGGGAAGTTATGCTAAACTTATATCGAACCTTGGTCAGGTCACACTTGGAGTACTGTGTACAGTTCTGGTTCTCATATTATAGAAAGCACATAGAGGCACTGGAGAAGGTGCAAAGGAGATTTACAAGGATGATATCAGAACTGCAAGGTTATACCTATCAGGAAAGGCTGAACAAGCTTGGACTCTTCTCTTGAATAGAGAAGGGTGAGGGGTGACCTAATAGAGGTCTTTAAAATTAAGGAAGGTTTTGATAGGGTAGACATTAGAGAAGATGTTTCCACATGTGGGGGAGACTAAAACCAGGGGCCATAAATATAAAATAGTCACCAATAAATCAAATGGGGAAATAAGAAGAAATGTCTTTACCCAGAGAGTGGAGGGAATGTGGAACTTGCTGCCACAAGGAATAGTAGAGGGTAATAGCAAAGATGCATTTAAGGGGAAGCTAGATGAGTACATGAGGGAGAAAGGAATAGTGGGTTATGCTGATAGGCTTAGTTGAGGTTTCGGTACCTTCTCCAGTGCCTCTAAATCTTCCATTTGTATGCGGATGACACCCAACTCTTATCTTTCTGCCTCCACGCTCAACTTCAGGACCACTGCTGTCCTGACAGACTGTCTGTCAGACATCAAGTCCTGGATGAGGGCAAATTTCCCACAGTTGAATGTGAACAAGACCTAGGCCCTCCTGATTGGCTCGCGCCAGCGCCTCTCCACCTCGGGCTCTGGCAGCATCAACTTCCATGGTTGCACACCTCAACTCATTTGACCTTCAACTGTTTTCTTCTCCACGTCCAAGCCATGACCCGCCCTGCCTTCCCTCACCTCCGTAACAACGCCCGACTCCGCCACTACCTCACCCCTCAGGCCGCTGAAACTTTTGTTCATGCCTTCATCACCTCCAGGCTCGCCTATGCAAATGCCCTGCTTGTCGGCCTTCCCAACTCCTCCCTCCACAGGCTGCAGATATTCCAGAACTCTGCAGCCCGTGTCCTCTCCCGAACCAAACTCCATGACCCCATCTCCCCCATTCTCGCCGGACTCCATTGGCTCCCTATCCCTTCAGACTATCCAGTTCAAGAACCTGGTCCTCACCTACAAAGCCCTCCATGGCCTCGCCCCACCCTACCTCTGCGACCTCGTAACACCTACCAACCCACCCGCTCAGCCGGCTCCAGCCTGCTCCACGTTCCTCGACCCACCAGCCCCACCATTGATGGGAGAGCCTTCAGCCACTCTGCCCCCAACCGCTGAAATTCCATCCCCCAATCACTCCGCCTCGCCCCCTCCTTAGTCTCCTTCAAGTCCCGCCTCAGCTGGACCATGCCATTGGCCTCCCGACCCCAGCTCAGGTCTGAAACACTGTACACTGTCCATCACCTTGGACGTCCTCCCGATGTGAAAGACGCTATACAAATGTAATCTTTTTGTTGAGGAAGGTCAGGAGGAGGCTCGTGGAGCATAAACGCCTGCATAGATCAGTTGGGCTGAATGGCCTATTTCTGTGCTGTATATTCTATGTAATTCTATACAAAATATTGATTAATTTTTTTGTAATAAGTATATATTATCTTGTCACTTAAAAACAATTTGGAAAATGTTAACTGAACTACAAGTTTTTTCTTCTGGAAATGCTTAGGAAATGTGTGTTCATTGATTTCTAGTTTTACTTGATTTAAAAAAAACTTTTTAAGGGAAAGTACCAGGGATTAGAATATACTGCTCCATGAAAGGAACTAGTAGCAGAATGGGCGTAAATGATCATAATGCCTTCTATACTGTAATGTCTACAACTCTTGTTGCTTTCTAGGTATTTCCAACTTACCATATTTATCCTTCAGCTGCCCCCCATGTTGCATACATGCAACCGAAAGCAAATGCACCATCCTTTTTTATGTCCGATGAACTCAGACAGGTAAGTTAAATGCTATTTTTGCTTGATTTTGTGATGTTTTGACAAAGATAGGCTTTTTTTGCAATAAACTGAAGATTTTATATTAAAATTCTCAGTTTTAACTTTTAACAGAGCTACTCTGGAGCAGCCAGTAATGTTAGTGGTAAAATAATGTGCTACATGGCCAACTACACCAGTTTGATGAATCTATCCTAGGTTGATTTTGAAACTCGTTCTTCCTGTTCTAAACCTTACTACTTATGGATACACTTTTTGGCAATTCAATAAATTATGTATTGTTGGGTAATCACAAGTTTCATTGATTCCTTCGAAGAAATTATCCTTATTTGTTAAGTTTATCTGCCCCACAAATACATTCCCATGACTCTGCTAGTTAGTGTTGGTCTGATCTGTGTGCCAGAAGGTGATAGGGGTTGGCAAATCCTCAGATTTTCTCTCTTTGGGAGGGAATGCTTCTCTGTTCAGTGTTGCACCTTGATTTGACTAACATTAGGAGTGAACTATGTGCAGAAATTCATGTCCTATTTCTCTATGGAGCTGGATGTTTGTACACCACTGTGCCATTATATTGCCTTTTGCCCTTAGCTCAAGTAGCTCAATTATAATTAATATAGAGCCACAGCAATTTATAGCCCATCATGTCTGTGCTGGCTCTTTGAAAAAGCAATCAATTCAGTCCTATTGACCTTCCTTTTCCTGATATTCTTACAAATTACTTTGTAAATATGTAACTAGTTTCCCTCTTGAAAGTTAATGTATGGATTCTGCATCAGCCATTTCTCTGTGTTAAAAAAAAAATCCTCAATCTCCCTCTTTGCTCCTTTGCTAATTATGTTTAATTGATGCCCTCTAGTCACTGACTCACCAATCAATGGAAATAATTTATCCAATAATGTTGTATTAACATTTCTTTGTAGGAGTTGATCAACAAGCATTTAATAACTATGGCACAGATTGACCAAACTGAAAATCCAGGTGAGATGGTCCTTGTTGTATAAACATTTGGCACTTCCTTTCTACCTTATTTCTACCTGTACCTCATCACAACAGTATATATGTCTTTGAAATCTAATAATTATCTTGATTTGTTTGATTGATTAACCAATCCTGTTTTGAAATTTAGTTTATTTATGAAATTAAATGAGTTATAGATTCAAAATATTCTACTTTGGTTAAAAAAACAGTGGAGTCCAGTCATAAGGTTCCACTGTGAGGGTCACCAAATCCCAACAACCTTACATTGGGGACCCTGATAGCCAGTCAGGACTTGCTTATCACTGTGTAGCAGCTGGCTTGGTTCCTATGCTAACAAAAGACTGACCTCAAGATATTGAGGTCACAATCAACATCACTTCTTTGTGAGGAGCAGAAAATGATGTCTGTGATGAGAACCAGGCCTAGTCTTTTTATTACTGTGTGGGAAGCCAGAATGGCTAACTTTTGGGGCATCAGGTTGATGTCTGTTGCTTCTTGCAAATTGAATGGGGTCCACACTCCGTTCGTACTATAACTGAATGTGCCATGTAAGAAAGGGGGCTAATAATAATAATAATCCTTATATTTGATATAGCGCTTTTCACGTCTTCTAGACGTCTCAAAGCGCTTCACAGAATATGCTGTAAAGTGAATTGACTGTATATCTGTGGGCGAAATGTGGCAGCCAATTGCGCACAGCAGTGTCCCACAAACGGTCATGGAGAAAGGAAACTTTCCCAAGGTTTCGCCCTGCCTAGAATTGAACCCAGGTGTCTCGCTTGCAAGGCAAGTGCTCTAACCACTGAGCTACAGGACTCCCAAGTACAGTACAGGGCTGCTGTACATAGTTCCAATCAGCAAATTAAAGATTGCATTTAATATAATTATACGGTGCAGAAATAAGTCAAAATTAAGGAAGCACATACAGTGGTCCTCAAAGCCATTCTAATATTAGCAAATTGGATATTATTTTAGACATTCATACTGAACTGCAACTTGTGTATGTAGCATATATCTTTAGAAATAAGCAGTTGATGGTACAAACCTCAGTTGCTAGGTTTCCGTATCTTCAATTTTCCCTTTGACCATAACTTCATTCAGTTGAACAATTATATAAATTATGTAATTGGGTGAAATAAATGGTTTGTCAAGGAAATCCTTCGAGACCCTTAAAAAAAGTGAAATATCTTCAGTTTCCTTTTTTGCCAGTTACTAATCTACGACTTTGAAGATATTGTGTTTTGGCCAGTAACTGATTTGTTCCACTATAGCTAATAGTAATTACCACCTGCACGATCATTATCAGATTGGCAAGCATTCGTCCACATATCCACAATCTGGGTAGTTCAATGTATATAATATAGCAGTTAGACAATTGGTTTCTACTTTTGCGTAGATCCATTTCCCGATCTAATACAGGTGATAGTAAAAGCCCCTATTTACATGTCAATGTATTTTAGTGCAAGTTGAGTGATCTGCATAGAAAGTTGATAATTTACTGTATTATTAACATATTTGCAAGTTTGTGCATCTCTTCAAAGTGATACTCCAGAATAAGATTATTTTCAACCATTTGTCGAGGACAAATGTTGTACAGCTAAATGATGAAATAATTTGAATCTTAGTCTTCCTTTCACTCTTGCTCATCATTTTTAGACAACAGTGGGGTGATGCTGAGTCTTGGAAATCAGCAAAGATGGAGGCTCGATTAAGAAGCCAGTCTTTAAATTTAACTTGCTGCTCTGCAACAGTCTACAAAATAAAGATACCACTGTTGTAGCACAATACCCTAGAGACGAATGTTGCAGGTTTCATCTCTGGTGACTTACCTACTGATCCTAACTTATGCAATTGGGGAACTATAATTGGCATCAACCACACCTGGATTATGGAGGGAAAAATAAGACTTGAGTTCCTATTCTTGATTACAGTCAAGAGAAATCCGGAAGTGCACAAGTGCAGATGTTGCATAATCACTAAATCAGGTTCTGCTTCAGAAGAATAGCCCACCGAGACTAGATCCTAATGAAAATGAACCACATTTACAAGGGGACAAAATGTTGAATACCTCCTGAAGAAGAGAGCGAGAGAGGAAACGAAAATGTGCAATGTCTATTAGAAAAAAAACAATTATCTTTTGTTCATACACATGAGAACAGTTGGGGATAAGAAAACTCAATCCACACGATAAGACCAGTCTAGAAAATAAAGATAATAATAATAATCCTGGCATTTGATATAGCGCTTTTCACGTCAGGAGGACGTCCCAAAGCGCTTCACAGAATACACTGTAAAGTGAATTAACTGTATATTTGTGGGCGAACGCGGCAGCCAATTGCGCACAGCAATGTCCCACAAACAGTCGTAGATTGAAAATGACCAATTTATTATTGTTTTTGGTTTTGGAGGGATTATTATTAGGCTCTGTGTGGAGTAAGGAAACTTGCCCAAGGTTTCGCCCTGTGCCTGGAATTGAACTCAGGTCTCTCGTTTGCAAAGCGAGTGCTCTAACCACTGAGCTACAGGACTCCATTGTTGTAATAATAATAATAATAATCCTTGCATTTGATATAGCGCTTTTCACGTCGGGAGGACGTCCCAAAGCGCTTCACAGAATAGACTGTAAAGTGAATTGACTGTATATTTGTGGGCGAACGCGGCAGCCAATTGCGCACAGCAATGTCCCACAAACAGTCGTAGATTGAAAATGACCAATTTATTATTGTTTTTGTTTTTTGGAGGGATTATTATTAGGCGTGTGGAGTAAGGAAACTTGCCCAAGGTTTCGCCCTCTGCCTGGAATTGAACTCAGGTCTCTCGTTTGCAAAGCGAGTGCTCTAACCACTGAGCTACAGGACTCCATTGTTGTAGCACAATGCCCTAGAGATGAATGTTGCAGAGACGAAGGAGTATATTCCTTCAACTACAAAACGCTTGTGTACTTAAGTTGCAACATTATATTTAAAATAATCTAAATGTGGTCCAAATTTGAATTCTTTAATTTATTCGTCCAAATTTGAATGCTTTAATTAATTCATCCCCAAACTGTTGTAAGGATTATTTATCCAAGGGCTCAGAGTGATAATCGGTGGATTGCATTGGTCAATGCTGAAAACGTTATGGCACTGTAAGATGAGGTGATGGCAGTTGATGGATTTTAGTCCAAATTATAAATTTGTTGTTATTCCATTCATTTTAATAAGTAAAGAAAACTGAAGTGTTTTCACCATTTTGGTAAATTCAAAAGCCTGCTTGTGTTTTTGTGACACAGTAAGCATTATTGTCTGCTCTATTGCCTGCTGTCATTTACAGAATACGGTTATCCACAGATGTAACTTCACATGCAGTGATATGCTATTTTGTAATAGAATCTCTTCAGTTGTTCATAGCATTTTGGTCAGGTTAATTCAGTATGATTTCTCTTTGAATTTTACTATTATTATTAAGTTGAATTGTTATTAACCTCTTTATTGACTTTTTTGCAAAAGCTGGAGTATACTGATGACTTTATTTTGAATGTGAAATTAATATTTGCTTTGCTTTATATCTTGTATGTTGATGTACTGAATTTTCTCAGTATTGTACTATACAAACATAATTAGCTGTTCTGCATGTTTAGATGTTAAGTATTTAATTAGTTTTTAATGTCTTAACTTCAAAAAAAATGACTACTCTAGTTCCATACTGTGCATGGGATTGGCAGCTGATCACAAATTGCCATTTTAAGATTTATTCATCTTAGGAAAAATTAGAGCATATATACTAAATTAGAGCTTATCTAATTTTATTAGAGCATATCCTAACAAGTTTGAGATTTGGAACATTGTTCCCGAGAAAAGTAAAATTCATCCGGTTTTCAAAAAAATGCTCAGATATATTTTGTTGAAATACACAACAATTATTTAGTGGTAAATTGTAATACATTTTACCAGTTTAAATTGTCCAAATAAATGTGAACTGAATTATAAATTGTTACTATTATAGTCTTCTGAAATATTCATATACTTATTGTAAAATCTAGAAAGAGAATTCTATTCAAAGGAGGAAAGTTTGCTGTTCAAATCAATTCCTTCTTGGAATTGATTTGCTACAAATTCCCAGAAACGTTCAGAACCGTATTCAGCAAAGTCTAGTTAGTACTGAACTTTCCTAAGTCATTTCCCAGGTGATGAAAAATTCCCAAAACAACTCAGTGGAGTTGCTCTGCATCATATCTGAATACTCTCCTCATTAGGTCACTGGGGCCCAGGAAGAGGCGGGTTCAAAGCATTCTATCACAGTGAGGTGGTCCCTTACTATAGATGAAGCACTGTTTTATGTTCACTTGTTTTTTTTTATCTGGGAGAATAATTTAAAGAAAAACTTCCTCTAAAATGTCTTCTTCATTTGAGCTTATTCAGATTGATACTTTATAAAATCCAATAAAAATTGTCAGGTAATTGTAGGTTCTTAGTATTTTTATAAATGGACGTTCTATTGTCTTTGATACCAATGTATGCATTGTACACTGTAGGATTTCCCACGGAGGTGGATAACTACCACAGTCTCTTTCCTCTGGAGCCTCCACCAGCTAATCGGCTACAAAAAACAAGTAACTTTGGGTTCATGACATCATGCTATAAGGCAATTAATAACAAAGATGATCTCCCTTATTGCCTTCGCAGGATACATGGTAAGAAAACTCAAACTTGCCGTCAATGTACTTCAATTGCTGGTGTGTTGTGCTAAGGTTGGTTATTTGTTGACAGATTGGCCCATCTGAAATTTTCCCACTCTGTTTGCAATATCAGTGAGATATCAGCTCCTCATTGACTTTGTAGTCAGTGCTTTGGGACGTCCTCCTGACGTGAAAGGCGCAGTACAAATGTTGTTATTGTAGTGTCTCCATTTGCTGCTCATATGTAACATTACCATTCTTCCTGACAGGTTCACAATGTCCCCCCCCCACCAACAGAAATTATTAACAAATTGGATTTCCTTTGTGCAATATTTAATTTATTTAATGGACAAAAGTCTTATTTTCTAAATTTCTGCCCCCTGCTGGTTTTAACATGCCATCAATGAACCACCAGCGAAGGTTTGAAAGTGTGAAAGAATGTACTGTTCTTCCAGTAGCATGAGTCTACAAAGTGGCGGAAGGCTAAATTGTCCCAGCTTGTTCCCATTGTGCATATATAGGGTTGTTACAGCGAAAGATCAGACATCAGTTGGATGGTTGTTGGATTAACAGTCTATGACTGTTGCTGAGAAAGAAGAGACAAAGAGATTTAATAAAAAGTTGGATGGGTACTTGCACACCCGTTTAGGTGAGAAATAAAAGTATGAGGTGCAGACGAGAAAGGGTGCTAGGATTCACAGAGGTGGAAGAGTAGAAGCAAGGAAAGGAGATTGGAGGGCGTTGGGAAGATGAGAGATGAAAAAAATGAGTTTGACATTGCTTATCCAGGTGAGTGAATCCCACTTTCAAATTCTCTCTCTGGCACTTGTACCACAGTCCCTACAAAAACACTTTCATCACCCATTGCACTGAATATAACGTACTTTCAGTCCCAGATTAAATATAGTACAGGCTGTGTCTACAGCAAGCATCCCTCTAATGTGCTCTCAACTTGATAGGAGTGTCTTTCATTATGTTGGACAGTTTTCCCTGTTGAGCTAGCTTTGTTTCCTTTTGACAGAGATTTGCAGATTATACCAGATTTGTGACGTTGGGTTTGTGCTCCCAAACTGTATTGAGACTGCTTCACAGTTTTACTTGAATCACATAGAGCTGACAGAAAGGGAATTTTCATTTGATAAATTTAGGCTGCATTCACATTAGATCACAGAGGTTAAAGAACATTTGATAACTTACTGTGTTACCTAGATCCTTTGTTCACTTATTAATTAAGGCGTGTAAGACTTGCTCAGCATGTGTTTGAAGCATATTTGCTCAAAACAAATGTGGAGATATGGGAGGAGGGATACTTTTGTGAACATGGGAAGAACTAATACTTCACCAGAGAGCATCCTCAAGTAAGTTGCCGAGGGACAATTCTCCTTCTCTGGTCATACTACCTGACAAGCTCCTCATGTCAATAATGTAAAAATTCAGATATTTAGTGATGGAACTAAAAGTAGAAGGTGACTAAACAGTTATGATAACTATCCTATTATCTACAAAAATCATCATTTCTATAAGACTTATTAAAAATTTTATTGGTTTCATGACTTTTTGGTCACCCTTTATATTTAATTTGTTTCATTGACCACAGAAACATAAGAAATCAGCACAGGAGGACATTTGGCTCAGTGTTTTTGACATAGTGACGAGCATTGAATTAAATTGAAATTAAGTTTTTATTGATTTGCAGGCTTCCGTCTTGTAAATACAAAGTGTATGGTCTTAGTGGATATGTGGAAAAAGATTCAGCATTCTAACACAGTAACGCTTCGAGAAGTCTTCACAACCAAAGCATTTGGAGAACACTGTGAGTATATAAACTCAGGAGTACAGGGAAAAAGTTGGCCAGCTTACGTTGATTTACATAGACTATACAGCATGGAAATGGGCCTTTCCATGAGTCTCCACCCACTGCTTTCTGCACCCATATGCAGTCAAACCAACTATCGTGCCTCGCTAAAGCCACACTACGATTTTATAACGAGGCTCCACTGTAGTTTAAAAAGATTACATCCAAGTTCTTTTGCCTGCATGGGCATCTCGTTTCCACAGTTTTGTGAATTATTCAAAAGTCATGGCTCCAGATATTGTGAAGCTTAATAGATGTGAACATTTACTGAACTAGTTATTTTGATATTCTGTATTGATAAGATGGTTTACTTCCTTGCACATAAACTCTGGTGAACTCGTCCCCTGTATTAGCTGACGTCAACATTCTGGATTCAAGATCTACAAAGATTATTAATCCTTCCCAGTGACACCACACCCAGGATCTTTATTTTGCTTACAGAGTTGCACAGTTTCCAAAATTGTGAAACCTATTCCAAGCTCAGCAGCAGCCCATCGTGAGTATTTGATACAAGGAAAGAAATCTTCCAGTCAAGATCCTTCTTGCAAGTAAATCTCAAGTTTCAGATTCTTCAAGAAGCTCGCACCAGCTCTAATTCAAACAGAGTAGAGAATTCAGAGCTAGAGTATTCAGGAACATATGCAAAAGTTGTTTCCTGTTGAGTCGTATTCATTTAGAAGAGAAAAGGCATTGGAGCTCTCTGGGATTCCATTACCTCATCCAGCGATATATTAACAAGACTGCTCAACCTTCGTGCTCAGATGCTGTCCCAATACTTGAGTGAAGATTGTGGAGACTATAAAGACTTCCCGGCCAACTGGGCTTTCAACGGTAAACTGATGAAGTCTGAAATAATGACACCAGTTGAATTACAGTGATTTCAATCAAGACTAATCCCAAGATTTAAGGAATATCTGATTCTATTGTCTATGAATATGGAAACGTTCAAGAGGAATTCATTTAAGTATTAGAATTGTTTTTTCTTGACTATTTAAGATCTTACTTCTTACATGCTGTGTTCTGATTGCAAAAGCGGCAGTATATAATAATAATAATCCTCGCATTTGATATAGCGCTTTTCATGTCTTTTAGATGTCCCAAAGCACTTTAAGTGAATTGACTGTATATTTGTGGGCGAACGCAGCAGTCAATTGCACACAGCAATGTCCCACAAACAGTCATGGATTGAAAATGACCAATTTATTATTGTTTTGTTTTTTTGGAGGGATTATTATTAGGCGTGTTGAGTAAGGAAACTTACCCAAGGTTTCGCCTTGCCTGGAATTGAACTCAGGTCTCTCACTTGCAAACCGAGTGCTCTAACCACTGAGCTACAGGACTCCACCTGAGATTATCTTAATTACATTGCTTACCAGCAGTAGTTGAAATTGTCAATCCTTCAATTCTTTCGTCAGGTGAAGCTGGTGATTTTTAATATCCTTGATATCCCAAATTTGGCGTGCTTTGCTTCATTCAGGGTTTGACATCCAGTCACACAAGACAATTGAGCTTGTTTTCGTGCTAGAACATTTATGCTTGTGATCTGAAGGTGATCGTTTTGTGATTACCATGACCTAGCTGCTCACTGTCACTTCTCACCTTCCTGATCCCCCACCCTCCCCCAATGCTGCTGACAAGCCTAGAAAACAGCAACAGATAGTTTGTAGACAAGTGAGGTCTAGTCTGATGGCTATAGATGAAGGAATTTTGGGGGAATACAAACAATGACCCCTATCCAGCAGTGTTTCTTTCTTGGGACAACCAACGTGCTTTATTGCAAGGAATTTCTGCTTTTTGCTTCCTTTTCCCTGATCAGATAAAAGGCACTTTCATGCTTTGAACATTCACTGTTTTGAACTAATCTTTGTGAGGCCAGATGTAGGCAATGCATTTAGTTTGTTTTGTGCCCAGTGCCTTCAACTTTTGAGGATTATAATAGATATTTCATACTGCATGTGCTCTACTGGGAGAAAAGCCAGTTTCAATGACACTTGTTTGTTTTTGTTTAAAAAGTGATGAGCAAGCCTAGAGCAATTTGCATACACCTATCATCTATATGGATGTGAATTGTAGAGATGAAACTACTTTCCATGAGTCCTCAGTACAATTTGCATCATCTTGGCATATTACCTGCCAAAATTGCAGATTCTCTAACAGACATCCAGTATAAAGTCAGCATTGATGGCAATGCATTAATGGATAAATCAGACCATCCATTCTGGGGACTGACTGGTGGCAATTACTACTTCAAGTTGAGAATTTGAAAGCCTGGCAAATGGCATGGTATTCTATACATGTTCTCTCATATTGGCTTATCCCAATATCTTCAAAGTAGCTTTTTGTACGATGGTCTTCTTCAACTGTGACACTGAGATTTCTAATTGTATGTAAATGATTGGTTTATCAGGGATCCATGGGAAAACACAGAACAGACAGAGGTTTGCAAGTCTTGAGATTATAGGTTAGGTTTTCTCATAAACTAAGTGAAATCTTATCCTTAGCGAGTATGGCATCAGGGTGAATTGTGGCTGCTTCAAGACAATGACGTACAAATGCTTTTATCTCCCAATAAAAAGAAAAGGCTGGTTTGAAACTACTTGTGAATCCTTGCATTGGGAGCACCAGCTATTTTCATGGCCACAAATATAAGCCTTTGTCAGACCACTGAAAACGAAATTGTGTATAATAATCTCTGAGACTTCAAGCAATGAAGGCTTTGAAACAAATGAATGAACCTTACCTGACCTGTTAACAACTTCCGTCAAAGGATCTGGAAAACAAAAAAAACTGTATTGAGCTACAAACCACTTGTCATGCAAGAGCTTATTGTTGAGTTGTTTTCATATCCCTGCTGTTCAGAGAACAAATCGACAAATTAGCTTGGATTGACAATACAAGCATAGAATGGTGCACAAATAGGAACCAAAGGCATGGTCGAAAAGGAAGGTCTTGAAGGAGGCAACTGAGGGGGTGAAGCGAAGGGACTGGAATGGTATTCCAATGGTGGGGCAGAAAAGCCGAAGGGCCGATGGTCGATGTTATAATAACAAGTAACTCCCAACACATTGAGTAACTCAGAAAAAAATCTTTTCAAAACATTTAATAGCAAGCACTTTCTGGCTTTTTGATCTAGGATTTTGGAACAATTTCTGAATGCTATTCATTGCCATATTGGAAACAGTAGCATAGGTTATGAGCCCTCTAGGTAGCCATTGGCACAATAGGTTTTAAGAACCTCAAAAGAAAGAAAGTTAAATGGAGTAAATTATTTTTAAGAAGTCCTATTTTGGTGCTGTTTGTGCTCTAAACTTGTAACAGACTGATATTTTGATGCAGTGCTGGGTGATGTTGTAATAATTGAGTTTGAGAGTGAACCCAGGAAGCTTGAGGAAGTCAGAGCCAGAAGCAAATGGGGATTGGTGGGAGGTTAGCTTCTGTTCATTTTATGGAGCTTGAACAAATGAGGAAGAATGCTAGATTTCTTACTTTTAGGTGGTCTTCCTCATTCGTCCAAACTGTTTTAGTTTCTACGTATACAAGGCTTCCTCTCTTCCTGAATCTCAGTTCTCTTTTTTTAACTGAGGTACCTTGGGGCTTATCAGTGTTTTGGGTATTTCACATTTCAATTATTTCAGTTTCTTTTCTTTGTAATGTGTTCAATTTCTACCACACCCACTCATCCTCTCATGAATGCATTTGACTTTTTCTACTGGGATGTAAATTCAACAGTCGCCCACCCTCCTCCAGTTCCTTGCCCAAGTGGCTATTTGTGTGTTTTCAAAAATATGCTTATCCAAAAAATACATTGCAGTTGAAATTTTTAAATTATTTTCAAAATAATTACTCTGTCTAAGGCAGATGCTTACCAATTGTCATAACTGAGATATTTGAATTGGGTTGCACTGCCCAGTGAGTTTTGCTTCCTCAAGATTATAATTTTGTTTCCTAAAATTTCTTTAAGTCTGTTCAGTGTCAGACGATATTCTGTTTTTTCTCATAGGGAAGAGCTATGCAAATACCACATTCTAACTAGTAACAAGTCTAAATACTCTATCATGCAGTTTTGTATATTGACTAATGCAAAAGACAATACAGAAATTTGCAAACTGCCTGTAAAATAACATGAGCATTTGCGATCATATTTATTCCTGAATTCAGTGCAGATTCTACTTCCCTTTGTCTATCCCCTTCAAAAAAAGTTTTTCATAAACAGTAGTGATAAAAAGAAAAAATTAAAATGCTATAGATCCAAACTTCATAGTAGACCAGAATCTGAAGGATAAAATTTTTTGTGAATTTCCAGTGACACTTTAATCAAATACACAGCGAATCTATCTGCTAAACTGCCTTTCTCTTACAGATTCTGATTGACTTGCTGAGTAGTTTCAACATTTTCTGTTTTAATTTGTGAACTATGTTCTCTAGCAAGTGGTATTTGCGGCTTAAAAAAAACATTCAAAGAAAAAAATATGCAGCTGAACTTTAGGACTCTTCTGGTGTGATATATGTAATGTATTTTCAGTATTACTGTTAGATAAGTTTTTTGCTTACTTTGTCTGTAGCCCTTGTATTTGCGTACGATTTCCATGCTGGATCTGAGACGATGATGAGTCGGCACTTCAATGATCCCAGTGCTGATGCCTATTTCACAAAAAGGAAATGGGGTAAGTACCTTTCAAAATTGAAGAAGAAAACATTTCTGCCAATTTTATAATTGTATTGAAATGAGGTGTTTCAAAAATTGTTTTAAATGTTTGTTTATCCAAATTTAGGCCATTACTTTTTATGAGTGTTCCATACTATGTTGGGACTTGTATGGAGCATTAATGTGTTAATATTCATGTACATGTCAAATGTAAGGATTGTTGTTATTGATTCAGATTTTTTGAAAGCCTGGTGTGGTGAGATTGTTTATAACTTTTGGTAATTTTAGTGCTTGTGATTGGAGGAAAGAAATGTGGGTGAATGAAGAGGAAATAGAAACAAAACTGTAACAGGGAATTAAGTCGACAAGGTAAATTTAGTTCAATGTTGTCAGTTAACTTAATACTACCGAGTTTGATGTAGTTGACAGTTAGCTGTAGAGAATCGTGGTTATGTGGCTGTGTCACATGTTCTGTAGGTCAGGTACTGTGGTCAGTAGTAAATCTGTTATCTTACCAAGCCATCTGCTGCCTTTATCCCTGGATTGTAGATTGAAGGGATGTGGTGGCAAACTTGCATGACCAGTACATTGCAGCACTTTTCAAGCTGTTTGATTTTTAGAACACCTGCATGGAGTCAACATTGTGGCTGTTTTAAATTCCCTAGCCCGCTATCCCCAAAAAGAAAACTTGTTTATATAAAAAAAAGATTGTGCTGTCCCATGATAATGTAGTATATATTTGTGGTAATGTTTAATTGCCATATTTCTCCATACTGCAAATTACTGTACTGCCTTTTGTTTCTGCCTGTCATTTGGGGTTTTTACTCGCACCTGGACAGCACATATACACCTGGAACAGTTCCATCCATTTGTATAAGAACACAGTCATTCAGACTGTACACATTCAAGTCCCCGATGAGCTAGATAGGTTGACTAACCATACATTTTCTACAGACCTGTCCAGCTTTCAGGCATGTTTCATGGAGACTGTTCAATCCCAGGAAGATCTTTGAGGGATTTGATTCAACTAGCAGGTTTGACCCAAGCTCTAATCAGGCCTCCTCTGACCTTCCAGTAAAGTACCAAAAAACAGTACCCCCCTTCCCCTCCCCCCCACCCCCATCACTAACGCAAATAACAGTCTTAAGTGATAAGAGGAGCAAGCAATTTGTATTGTCACAGATCCTGATATGATCAGATCTTCAGTAATTTCAGTGAGAAAGTAGATAGAGATTACCACTTCAATAGTCTTTCTTTCCCTTTCTTCACCTATTGATGCAATAGTCAAGACGTGAGAAATCCTTTGGAGATTTGGGGCCTTCAAAGACTTTTGTCCGTCTGTGGTTCTTTCACTTGCAGCAAATTGTTCAATATATCACATTATTGAATGAGTCAAACCATCCAATACTAATAAAGAAACTTTAATCATCTTTAATTATGATCTTTCAGTACAAATAATTGAAAGTCAGTTCAATTCTTTATTTTATTAGTGTTAAATTAACATTCAAAAGACAGAACCGTATCCTTTTTTCTAGGTCAACATGATGGACCTCTCCCTCGCCAACATGCAGGGTTACTGCCAGAATCGCTTATCTGGGCTTATATTGTCCAGTTGAGTTCAGCACTGAGAACCATTCATACAGCAGGATTGGCCTGTCGTGTCATGGATCCAACAAAGATTCTTATAACTGGAAAAACCAGGTACAATTATGAACTATATGTTCATCTTAGGTCAAGGTTTGTTTCAAATTTTCTTTCAAGTGTTTACATCTCCTTGAAATATTGCCATTAGTGACATTTCAATTACATCAGATATTAAGTACATTTATCTGGTGGTCTATCCATGAATTTACATTTATAGATAGGTATATACAGATTGATTCACTCGTAAAATAACAGAACACTAGGAAATTATTAGTTTTTGTAATGTGTTCATGGTTTGACATAGAAGTAATCTCCAAACTGAAATAATTGGGTAATGGAAAAAATGGAAAACACAGTGAATAGTGAAAGGTGCATCAAGTTTGGTGTTACAAATTTTAAAAGCAAGATTTTTGCAGGACAGGATCAGTGTTAAACTGAAAAAATCATCACCTTCACAGAGAAACCTAAGAAACTTTGGGATCTTCACACATTGAACCATGTAAACCTCCATGAACCACTTAGGTACAAATTTAATCCCTGTTTATCTTTGATTTTCTTTAAAACCATTCTAACTTTTTTGCAATGATTTGAACTTTGATTATATTCTACATGCTTTTTCTCTATCCCTTAGGCTTCCACACATTTTATCAACCATGTCAAATTTTAATCTTAACATTATCAATGATCAAACACCAGTCAACAGAGTGCAATTCTTCAGTATTTTTATGAACTTATATCTACAAAACTGTTTGCTTTGAAAAGCTTTTTGATTTCTATTGTTTGTTCCAAGGTTGCGTGTCAACTGCGTTGGAATATTTGATGTCTTAACTTTTGACAACAGTCAAAATAATCCACTGTCGATGATGCCTCAGTATCAGGTGAGCAGTTTTTAATTGGTCATTTTGTCCCATTTGCAATCTAGTTTGTTCAGCAGTATCCAAATATGGTTTCTGGCACAACTGCATAAGGTATATAGTTGGTTATGACCATCACTGTTTCAGCACAATCTATAGATTATAGTATTTGTGACTCATCATAGATTTAGTAATAGTTAATTTTTTAAGTTCTTTAGAAACATAGAAATCCACAATAACATAGAAATCTACAGCACAGAAGGTGGCCATGCAACCCATTGAGTCCACACCAACTCACAGCAAGAAGATCAATTCAATCCCCCCCACCCCGTATTATCCTCCTCTTATCCCTTCAAGCCCCTCTCTATTAATGCCTATTTCATATGTCTTTGTGATGTTTGTTTCTACGTTTAATCCTAAATCGTAAAGGTGAATAGAAATGTATAGTAGTCTGTAATCCCAGATCAGAAACCAGTCCCCAGCCTATTTATATATCTATCTATATTTTATTTTTATTATAAAGATATATATATATAAAGTGTAAAGAACCAGAGATTTTTGGGGGTTATATCAGAGAAAAGAGAATGGAGCAGCTAATCACAGCCAATCTCGAGAAAAGAGAGATATAGCTCAGTGGTTAGAGCACTCGCCTTGCAAGCGGGAGACCTGGGTTTGATTCCCTGCAGGGCAAAACCTTGGGCAAGTTTCCTTACTCTACACACATGCCTGATAATAATCTCTCAAGAAAAAAAACAATAATAATTTGGTCACTCAATCCATGACTGTTTGTGGGACACTGCTGTGCGCAATTGGTTCCCCTGTTTTGCCCACAAATATACAGTTACTTCATTTTATAATATCCTGTGACGCTCTTTGAGTGCCTCGAAGTTGTGAAAAGTGCTATATCAAATGCAAAGATTATTATTATGTTCACATAGTATTCTTTGTTAGCTATCGTGGTCTGATTAAATAGAAATTATTGATGACTGATGCATAATGATAATTACTTACATAATTAATTGGGAATTTTGTGTTAGAAATGGGTTGAATAAATATATTTGAATTATCCCAATGAAAGAAACTATTTTGTTTTAGAATATAAGCAGCTAATGTGACAGAACATATTAGTATCAGCAAGTAGTACATTAGACCCTCATTATAACAGTTATTGGAATCCATAAATCCGTTATAGCAAGTTTCACTGCATATGACCTGATAGAGGTCTTCAAGATCATGAAAGGTTTCGACAGGCTAGATAAGGAAAAGCTGTTTCCGCTGGTAGGTGTGTCTGTGACCCGTGGTCACAGTCTTAAGATATCTACCAAAAGAAGCAGAGGGGAGGTTAGAAGAATTTTTTCACTCAGCGAGTTGTTCAAATTTGGAATGATCTGCCTGAAAGGGTAGTGAAGTCCGATTCGATAACAGCTTTTAAGAGAGAACTGGATAGGTATCTGGGGAAGACGGGTTTGCGGGGTTATGGGTAGAAAGCTGGTGATTGGGGTTAGTGAAAGTGATTTGCTCTGTCAAAGAGCCGGCACAGACTTGATGGGCCGAATGGCCTCCTTCTGTGCCGTAACATTCTATGAAAAAATCTATGAATGTGCACAGCCATTCAACTCACTCACTGCACCCTGACCAATCCACACACATTTTTTTAAAAAAAACAACTCCCAATTGGGTCACCGCCAATGTGGTGTTATTTGTGGAGTCCTGCAAGCGAGACACCTGGATTCAATTCCAGGCAGGGTGAAACCTTGGGCAAGTTTTCTTACTCCACACGCCTAATAATAATCCCTCCAAAACAAATCAATAATAAATTGGTCATTCAATCCACGACTGTTTGTGCATTTGCTATGTCACACAGTAAATTCCCGTGAAGCTCTTTGAGACGTCTCAATAATATATCGTGACATGTCATGCTACATCAAATGCAAGGATTGTATATTATTATCATATCCACATATATGGTAGATAGGGAAAATTACAAACACCTTGAAATCTTTTTTGGGGTCAATCAGGTGTTTGACACATACAGAAACCCATCACCATGCCTAAAAGTATCCAAACTAAACTGAGAGTTCTATGCATCCCACCTAAACATGGAAATTTCAGAGATGTTTATTGGAATGGAATGCACACTCGTGCCTGCTTACCTAATTCTGGAAAGTATTAGGCGCAGGTTGGTAAGAGCCAACGCTTGGTGACCCCAGAGTGTACTTTAGGGTACTGCTGGAGTCTCACCAGCTAAAACTGCATAGCTTGCCGTTCAGAGCACTGCCTGGCAAGCTTTCCCACTTTCCACTATCCAGCTTTCCCTGATAATGTGAAAATCACTCTTTGGGACATGAAGTGAAGCTCCTCTATGACACCTCATGTATTGCATATGGACTCGCAAGGTCTCGGTTCAAAGGAGAATTCTGTGAGTTGGCATGGCATGTATAAAGTTTCCTGAAATGCAGTTTATACACTAAGGTGCCATTTATACTGTCATTTTTTCTAATTGGTGATTTTTCAATCCATTGTGCAGTAATACTCATGACGAGAATTCCTTAGCTGTCCAAGACAATACCTAACTAATTTGTTCTCATGGGGGTTAGATTCTGTAACCTTATTCTTTCTGAAAGATAAATTAAGCAAAACTAGAATGCATATCATCTGTGGATTCTATTTGGTTATTAACAAACAAACATAATTAACATGATGCTTCTCTATTCCATAAAGTCAACTGTTGAGTAATTGTGGGTTTCCAACTTTTTTTTACTGTTACTAAGAAGCCCAGGTGAAAAGCCAAGTACACCATTAAGTTTGTAAAAGAGAAGAGAAAATGAGATAAATCAAAGAAGCGGTTAAGTGGTGCAGAGCTTTGGTTTAAAAAGACTGCATAGTAAGAGGAAGGGACAGCTGTGGAGGATCAGAGATTTCACAGTCTTAGAATGAGCAGAAATTGTAAGGAGTTTTCATTTCAACACTGTAAGAATACGAATCTAGTAAGCGATGTGTGGAATGCTGTATTTGGAGCTTGTAAGGAAAGTTCAGTGAAGGAATGAATATTGTAACCAGAGTGGAGCCCTCTTACTACATGCACAGCAAAGCAGGAAGCGATCTAATGACCTGGAAGTTGAACAATTTAGCACAAAATGCCAAGCAGCGCACACACAAGTACAGTGAACAGAGTAACAGAGTGTAACCCAGCAACTGTGCAACTGTGTTACAAAAGCATTTGCTCTAGTGAAATGCATCATATATGGGGCCATATTGTATCTTGATAAAATGGATAACGATGTGAAAGTTTTACTAGGAAGGAGAAAAATGGATCAGATGTCACAGTTCACTTTGTCTCAACGAATGGCTTCTCCTCCACCCCCCGTACTGTCTCATGTGGTGTCCCTCAGGGCTCTGTCCTCGGTCCCCTCCTCTTCACCCTCTATATGCTCCCCCTCGGTGACATCATCCGCAGACATGGAGTTAACTTCCACATGTATGCGGATGACACCCAACTCTACCTTTCCTCCTCTACTCTCAACTCCACGACCACCGATGTCCTGACAGCTGCCTGTCCGACATCGAGTCCTGGACGAGAGACAACTTTCTTCAGCTCAACGTGCGAAAAACCGAGGCCCTCCTGATTGGCTCACGTCAGCGCCTCCGCACCTCAGGCGCTGACACCATCAGCATCCAAGGCTGCACTCTCCACCTCTCAAAGCCAGTCAGGAACCTCGGCGTTTTGTTCGACCCTGAGCTGTCCTTTCTCCCTCACATCCGCACTACAACTGGCACCGCCTTCCATCACCTTCGGAACATCGCCAGACTACGGCACTACCTCACCCCTCACGCTGCTGAAACTCTGGTCCACGCCTTTATCACCTCAAGGCTGGACTATGGGAACTCTCTCCTCGCCGGCCTTCCCGCCACCTCCCTCCACAAGCTGCAGGTCATTCAGAACTCTGCAGCTCGTGTACTGTCCCACACCAGGCTTCGGGACCACATCACTCCCACCCTCGCTCGCCTCCACTGGCTCCCCATCCCCCAGAGGATTGATTTCAAGATCCTCATCCTCACCTACAAGGCCATTCACGGCCTTGCTCCCTCCTACCTCTCCAACCTACTATCCCCCTACCTACCTGCACGTACCCTCCGTTCCTCTGGCTCCGGTCTGCTCCACGTCCCCCGCCCCAACCGCCCTACCATCGGTGGTCGGGCCTTCAGCCTCTCAGCCCCCAGGCTCTGGAACTCCATCCCCCAGTGCCTTCGCCTTGCTTCCTCCCTTTCCTCCTTCAAGGCCGGTCTCAAAACTTTTCTCTTTGACCGTGCCTTCAGCTCCCCTCTCGACTCTCTTCCCCCTCCTCGCTCCCTCCCTTCCCTCCCCTCACCCTGACCATTTCCCCCCTCCTTGCTCCCTCCCTTCCATCACCCTGACCATTTCCCCCCTGCTCGGGTCATGACCCAACTGTGCAGCGCCTTGGGACGTCCTCCTGACGTGAAAGGCGCTTTATAAATGGAATCTTGTTGTTGTTGTTGTTGTTCAGAGGGGGAACATCACTTGGGTGATTTGGCATTTTTTTTTGTATTCTGTCAAAGTGCAACACAGATGCTGGAAGTCTCTTTCCACATATGGCACTTGATGTATTCAAGTCTTGGATGGAATTGGGCTTTATTAAAGACACGGGGGATATCAAGTTTTAATGATTGAGCATGTGAAATGAATGTTATGTTCCAACACCCATAAACGAGGAGAATTCTCCTTGCTCATTTTTCAAGTGTAAGATTTTACTCTTCAGTGGAGTCCGACGGTAAATAAATGAAGAAGCTTGAGCCTGACCTTTGAACTGTACAGGTTGAAACTTATAAACAAATTTGTGTAAAAACTTATTACAATGGTATTATTTGAGTCACACTTGTGAAGCAGACATACTCATGATTTGTTTCTTTCAATTCATAATCTGTTCTTTTCTCACACCAGCAAGCAGATCTGATCTCTTTAGGAAAAGTTGTTTTGGCCTTGGCATGCAATTCTGTGGCAGGAATACAGCGAGAAAATTTACAGAAGGCTATGGAGTTGGTGTCCCTAAACTATTCCTCAGACTTAAAGAATCTGATTTTGTAAGTTATTTAGCAAATTTGTTCCAAACTGAATATAATTTAAAGTTTCTGTTTTGACTGAAATATGTTAAACTGCGGTTGTATGTTCTGCTAACAAGTTGTTTGCTTCCTGATTTGTTGGCACCTGTCATTTCTGAGTGGCTTCTTTATGAGAAGGAAGGAGAAACCTCTTTAGGTTACAAAAATAAATGAAGTATTTGCGTGCACTAGAACAATTTTTTTATATATAAAGGAATGACTGAGACTTCTATTGTCTCAATTGATTAGTCTGTTACATAAAGGGATGATGCTTGAAGGTACCTATTTTTAAGCACTTTTCGTTTGTGTGGGGTGGTGACTTATGTTTTGGTGATGACTGGAAATTCTGTTTACTTGAGAATTTTATTCAATTTGCTTCTTGCCCTCCTCCAGTTTAAATAATTAAACAGCACATTTAGTGCTTTCCATTATTTGTAAGTAGCAATATGCTGTAGTGAAACAAAAACAACTGAGATGACGAGAGTGGTTTGCAAATAAATGTATTACTAAACATGGTGGCCATTTTTCTTCAATGATTACAGTGGGATAATAGCAATTTGCAAATGGTGGTTAGCAACTTAATTTAGTAGGTAGCATGCTTATGGTTCCGACACATGAGATAAAAGATTTAGGCTTTTTTCTGTTGGAGAATATAAAATTGACAATCTATCGTAGATTATCCAAGCACTTTATCTGGGTGATTAGTAAAATGGACTCAGCCTAAGAGACCAATACTTTCATCTGGGAATCGAGCAATTTCAATGTTAGTATCTTCAAATCATTTACTGAATAAACTTCTAGTGTAGTCGACTTTCATATCTAATGCGTCAGCCTGGCTCATTTGGTAGCACTCTCACTTCTTGAGTCAGAGAATTGTCAGTTTAAGCCTCACATTGGGACTTTAAATTTGCAATGTATCCTGATACTCCGATGCAATGTTGGAGGAGTGCTGCATTGTTGGAGGTACAGTTTGTCAGGTGATACATTAAACCGAGGCCCCGTCTTCTGGTTCAGTTGGACGTTATAAAGATCCCATGGTACTTTTGCAAGAAGAAAGAAGTTTCTCCTGATGGCCTGGCCAACATTCCCCTAAATAAAATCAGTCATTTGCTTCATGGCTTTTTGTGGGACATGGCTCTGTACAAATTGACTGTCGCATTCCCTTACAAAATACTCTACGGTATATCGTATGAAGCGCTTTTAAGAATTCCTCCCTGGTCGTGAAAGGTTTAATATCAGATGCAAGGATGATTAATAATAGTACTAATGATGACCCCTAGTATTATCTTGGTCTTTACCCGCTACCACTAACTTGTATGGCAAAAAATTGAGCAACCTATGCTAGTTCTGTGGGCATGAGTCTCTCAGCATCGTTATCAAATCCTAAATCACCTCCCATTTGATTCTATGGGTAATTAAATACTCTAAATAGTCAGTAATGCACGGAAAGGTCTAAAGATTGCTCTTGGTCTAAAGATTGCTCTTTGTCATTGGAGATTATAACCACCTTTGAGAACCCTCAAACCTTCTCACCTTTTATGTGACCTAGATTATAATGTGTGTTATACACAATATGTCAGAGTGATGAGACCTTTGTTTACTACTGTTAATTGTTTTTAATCTAGATATTTGCTCACTGACCAAAACCGGTTGCGCAGCGTTAATGACATCATGCCGATGATAGGTGCACGTTTTTACACGCAATTAGATGCTGCACAGATGAGAAATGATGTGATAGAAGATGATCTAATGAAGGTAATTTATATGTATTCATTTACATCTAGAGACAAAACTCGACTTGAATGCTACTTTTAAATGTCTCCATTTTAAAGATGTATTTCTTTTAGCATTTGAAAAGTACTGGTTGTAAATGAAAAAATGACTGCACTGCCCATGATCCAGCTTCCCCTGATAATGTCAACAGAAGAATGAGAATAGCTGTATCTTTAAAAAGTACCTAAACAAAGCTTTCAAGACAGAACTAGATAGATATTTTAAAAAGTGTAATTTGTGGAGGAAACAAAAAACGTGAGTAAATTGAACTGAATGGATTGTTGTTTAAAGCCCAGCACAGACATATTGGACCGAATGGTATTCTGTGTTATAATTTTGTATGGTTTCTAATTTAACTTGTCTTTTTTTCCCATCTTGCAGGAGGTGCAAAATGGAAGGCTTTTTAGGCTGCTAGCAAAATTGGGAACAATCAATGAGAGACCAGAGTAAGCTTTATTTATTTCTGTGCTGCAGTGGAAGAGGACGAGAGATAGAGAATGTTGGCTGGAGGAACACAGGCCAGGGATTTTGCTTCAATATTTTGGGGATAAAGGAATTATCTAAACAGAATTTTCCCCTGAAAGATAGTGAAACAATGGAATCTACAATATAAAGTTGACTTTGTGCGTTTTGTGGAAGAAGTCTAGATAATGTTAGAGACCATCATAAATTTTAACGTATCTAACTTTATAGCAATGGATTAACACCAATAGCTTATACACCTTGGACCTCACCAAACATTCAAACGACATGCCTCGTGGTAATGTGAATGATGGCCAATTACAGTTGCTTACTTTTTTGAGCCATAATTGAAGCACAATGTTTGTATATTAGGACATAAGTACATGACGATTGCATCAATTGTTTACTTCAAATTGTAAAAGTTTAAATGCATCTTTGCAATGTTAAAATTCAGCCGATGTCACATCACTGATATCAAGCTTGTTTCATAAATTTTGTAAATAATGTGGCTTTCAATGCGGGAATTTTTAAAGTTAGAAATTGTACAGATGCTACATTAATATTGCGCAAATTGTTTTGACAGGTTCCAGAAAGATCCTACCTGGTCAGAGACTGGTGATAGATATCTATTAAAGCTGTTCAGAGATCATCTTTTCCACCAGTTGACAGAAGCAGGCACCCCCTGGATTGACCTCAGTCACATAGTTTCCTGTTTAAATAAGGTAATGCATCATAACCAGAACAACTTTAAAAATGTAGATGGAAGTTATGTGAGTCCTTTAAAACTAGAAGAATAGAAGTTATAGCACTGACCCCCGAGTGTGTGCTGCTACGAGTTTCTCCACTGGAGACCAGCTACCTTAATCCAAATTACAGTAGGAAGCCTGTGTTAATTGGGACCACCCCCATTGCATTACTAACTAAAAAGTAATTCCATCAGGAGTTATGTTATTAGGGTATCAAACTATGACAATGCTTCCTCTGTCACTCTGACTTTCTCTCTCATTCTGCTTTTCTCTCATATTCTGCTTTTCTTCACACGCACTCTTTCTCTTTGTTACTTTGAATCTAATTTTCTTTATTTTCAACTATCTCTTATCTAACAAAATTAACATCTCACTGGAATAATAAATTCTTACTCTCTTGAGGGTGGTATCCTTTTATACATTCTATGAATGTCAGCGTCTTGGGATGTACTCCTGATGGGCTATATAAATGCATAAATATTGCTGTCAACAGGTCCAAGAATATTGGACTATAACTCTGAATCAGGGCTACTAGAATTTACCTATCTCACGGTGTGCTAACTCCTGAAGTAAATCCCTTTGGATCCCAATGTTGAACCCCTTATGGAGAGCTGGAAATGCTTTGTTTCACACTCTACTTATTCTTTGTTATTTTAATATGCTAAGTGGCCCTTTCCTAATGTTTGAACAGAGGAACAGAAATTGGCTGTTCATGGAGCCTACTCTGCCATTTTACATGGCAGCTTTTTATCTTAGTAATCTCATTTCCCTGCCTTTTCTCCATATGCCTTATTGCCCTTACTTTCCAAGTAGCTATCTTATCTCCCATTTAATTTTTGCAATTGATTCTTTAACTGTGAACAACCTGTATGAAGAAATGTTTTCTGGATTCCCTTTTAACTGTTAGAATTTTTAAATAATTAAGATTAGGACTACATAGTTTTTTTAATTTGTCAAACTCTTTGTTTGTTGCTATGATAGAGTTCTAATTGCCTCATCATCATTCACTTCCAAGACTTTCTCCTGTCCTTTGCAGTTTCTTCTCCCAGACTGATCCTGTGGCTACTCTGATATCTGATGTCTAAATATCTGTTCCTTGACTGCTTATGCGTCAAGTTCGACCCCCAATTATCCTTCCTCCCCCACATCGGTCTCTCACCAGCACCGCCTTCTTCCACCTCCGAAGCATCGCCCATCTCTGCCAATACCTCTCTCCGAAATCCGCTGAAACTCGAGTCCATACCTTTGTCACCTCTCTGCTGGACTATTCTAACACCCTCCTCGCCGGCCTCCCCTCCGCTAACATCCATAAAATCCAGATCATTCAAAACTGCTGCCCGCATTCTCACCTGCACCAAACTCCACTCCTTGATCATCTCATCCTTGCCAGACTGCACTGGCTGCCTATCCCATAGAGGATCGACTTCAAGATCCTCACCCTTGTTTTCAAATCCCTCCACTCCTCTGCATCCCATTACCTCTCTGACCTCCTCTCTCCTCAAAACAGTACCTGTTGCCTTTGTTCCTCCGGGTCTGGCCTCCTTGTCCCCCGAGTCCTCCGCACCACCCTCGGTGGCCATGCCCCGAGGCTCTGGAATTCCCTTTCTCAATCCCTTCACCTCGCCCCCTCTCTTCCTATTTTCAGGTTCCTGCTGAAGACCTTTCTTTTCGACCGCGCCTTTGGTCACCTTCTTCCCCCTCCCCTTGGCTCGGCCCCAGGATCCGTTACCGTGAAGCGCTCTGAGGTGCCGTCTGTCGTGGAAGGCGCTATATAAATCCTAGTTGTAGTAGTAGTTATGGTTAACTGGTCATTGTTTTGGTAATGCTTGTGTTTTAAGTTTGCTGACTTGCATTGTTAGGCTTTTTTGCCAACTGTATTGGTTAATGCTTTACTCGCTAAAAGCTATAATAGAGGGGGGCCTACAGAAAGTAAAGAAAGACAGTTACTTTAGCTTGTGCTAAAGTGTCATTTGCTTTTCTGTTAAGCACACAATACTAAACATTGTAGTTTAAGTTCTTTAATATATTTGAAAAGTTTGATATATTCTGTTTCCTATTTTTATTGCAGTTGGATGCCGGCGTACCAGAAAAAATCAGTCTAGTTTCTAGAGACGAAAAGAGTGTTCTTGTGGTGACATATGGCGACCTTAAGCGTTGTTTTGAAACTGCCTTCTCAGAACTTCTAGCAGCTTCAAATGGGCAGTTGTAGTATTTGCTGTGCTCAGGCAAACCATTGCCGAAGAACAATACAAAGAGCTAATTGCACTACAGCTGTCTTAATGCCATCTCATTTCACATTTGAAGGACAAATGTAAATGAGCAACGCTGCTTGCACTTCAGTCAGGTACACTGTTACTTGAAGGGAGAATGTCCATATTACAGGAGCTAAAACTGCCATTGGAAGCTGTGTCTGTGTCTGTGAAGATTGTTTTTAAATTGGAGAGCAACATCAGATGCATGATGAATCCAGTTTTATTTTTTCACACGTTTATGCACTAATTTTAAGTTCAAGACTTTCTTGTGATCTTTAAGGATTTGCCACATGTAATTTTGATGTGAAGGGAAAAAAATCGTTCTATTTAGAATTACTTTTCTGGGTAGCAGTACGTGCCCTTAAGGAAGATGTTTAAGTGACTATGCTGCACCCAAACCTACAATAAGGACCAGGTGAAAATGCCTTTGGATACGCTCGCTATTGGTGGACGTCATTCCGATGGATTATAATTCTGGAGCAGTTGCACTGGACTTCAGACATGACTGCCATGTGCTATCACTTAGGAAACCAAACTACAGAAAGCATATTTTTATGGAAATCAGGTGGATTACAGTATGGACGCTATTCTTATGGGAACTACACAACCCAGCGTGTCAGTGTTGATGGCATCTTTGTGAATGGTCACATCTATACATCTTTCATAACAGTTTCAAAACAAACTTGTAGCTTTTTTTGCTTCATACAGTTACCAGCGCCTTTTTAAAATAAGAAATTCAGTGTAAGTAATTCATACAAGTAAGATGCCTCTACATTTATGCAAGCTTTTTTTATAGGAGACTAATTTTTAAATTGAGTTCAATGCCTGAAATATCAGGAGTGGATTGATTTTGTTATGTATCATTTAATTTTGTATAAAGTTCTATTGTTTGAACAGCAGCTTTATTAGGGTACTTTACACTGGATATGAAAACACAAGAACTTTTGTTTTTACAAAAAAAACAGCAGTTGTCTAGTAGTAAATTGTGCACTTCTACTACAATGGGAAGGATTGTGGACTGCTGTGCCTTTACAATACTGCTTGCCCCAAAGTTGACTTCACAATTAGTCATGCCATCTAAATGAAAACTACCTAAGGTATGATGTGCAGTCTTCTGCTGTCTGATAGTTTCTTGGGAGTTGTAAATTGTAAAATAATTTGATTTGCAGAATCCAATTTTAAATATGTGGTCATGTATTGAATCCAAACCTTTTTGGTGAATAGATGGAATATGCAGAAATACAATGTAGACTTAAATCAATTGAGTTGTTTCAGGATTGTCAAATCTATTAGAATCAAATTTGGAAATGGACATACATTGAATTCAGAGTACAATGACTGGTTTTCCATTGTCTTTCCAGCATTTGAACATTTGATAAGCACTGGTTGCTTTGGATATGATGTAGAATACTGACTGATGCTGAGGAAAAGGCAGCAGAGACTTGGCATTTACAACTGATATACTGACTAATTTTAAATATATACCCGTGTGGTATTTTAGGTGTAGATTCGTACTCTCTTATCCAGTTTTATAAACTTAAAAACATTCTGCCCATTTAATTTCTTTTGGTAATGGCAACACTGTTCACTATTTAAAGGTTTGGAAGATAATTATGATGAGCTTGTTTTGAGGTAGCAATGAGGTCCACTTTTCTTGGTAGCATCAGTTGTTAAGATTAAGCAGGAAGAATTACAGTTATTTGTATTAGTGGCACATTTGTATGCACCCTGTGAGAATTGGCCTACAAGCAGGCTGTATAAGCAATCAAAATGATTCCCTCATTTTAGATGTATAAGGAGCAAAGAATTGAGGGCACTTTACATGTTCTTTCAAGGATAACGTCCGAAGTAAAGTCTTGTCAATAGCTCATCTGTTTGGCAGAGAAGCAGCTGTTTTGTATGTTTTGGGGAAAAAAGCATTTTATATAAAATTAAAAATTAAAAAAAATGGTATTCCGACATTATGAGGAGAAATACTGTATTTATAGTGTACTGTGCATTTCAAAGGTTCCTTATTTTCCCATTGTTAAGTGTAAAAAGGGAATCTTCTTCAAGAGTATTAAGGGTTGGAGCATGATGCCCTGCTTTTACATTCTCAGAATGGACCAATAATTGGGTAACTGGAGCAGAAAAAGAATAGGGCTAAATTTGAAGTTCATTCAACCAGCACACTGCCCTCTCTGGATTATCAAAAGTAAAAGCCAATCTTTAATTGCTCTTAACCCACCAACATTATCTTGTGTTAAGGTTACTAGTCCTTTCATAAACCTTGCTTTACATTTGAATGTATTTGTTAAACAGACTTAGTTAAAATTTATACACCAAATTCTACATTCTATTTTTTCTTCTCCCTTGGTACTATGTTCACCGTCTTAAATTGTCATAACATTTTCAGTCCATAGATCTGAAATTTGTTCAGAAACAGGAGACAGTCTAAACATATTAAAAAGTCATTGATTTGAGTTGCCCACTTTTTGTTGTTACAGAAAATTTGCAGTAGGGATTTGAAGTTGCTATCAATTACTGATGGATGAAACTTTAGACATCCACAGATTTACATACAATAGTGGATCAACTACTTCATATAGTTTACAAAGCTTATATAGCACTGAACATGGTGAATAACATTCTAGCTTTTGATGATCCAGTGCCAACCCTTAATATTACATGGTGACTTCAACTTTTGAAATCAGGTATTCTTTGAATTTTTTTTCAACTAAATACAGGGTTTTCAGTTAGCTAATGGTGATTAAACAAATCCACTTATGTATTACTATAATTTTTTTTAAAAAAAGACCATTTTGTAAAACAAGAATGAGTATGGGTAACCCTTACTGTTTTCCACTTTGACCTTTGATAATGCAAATTGTTAAACCGGCTCACAAACAAACCTGTCAATTCTGCCTTTTTATGTTCTGGCTCCCTCCTCTGTGTTAAATGTTTCCACTTCTGATTTAAACTTTTGTGTATGTACAGCAGTATTTTAATAAAGAATACCAGAAATTAAAATTTTTCAATTGTTTGAAAACATTACTAGAAAATCCAGGGTTTTTAATTTAATAATGATCATGTATTTGATATAGCGCCTTTGCACGTCTTTGAGACATCTCAAAGCTCTTCACAGAATATACTGTAAAGTGAATTGACTATATTTTGAGGGTGAAGTGAAATTTGACAACAATGTCTTTGTTGAGTTTACCATGCGTTTCCAAGAAAAATGTAATGCTGTTTGAGTCTATCTTGAAATTAGAGCAAAATCAGTTAACTTGCCATAAAGTGAATTCAGAAAATGTTTTCACTGAAAATGTGAGAATGTGGGATGCACTACCTAGAACGAGTGCATAATGGACGTTGTGGATAGGATTTTGGATGCATTCAGAGATGAGCACTGAGGCAACAATTTGGCAACTGGTCTTCAGTTCAATAAGAGGGCGGCTATCTTCCCTTGGTCTCTTGGGAACTGAGCTGACTCCAAGGTGACATGCATTCATAATGGAATGCCAGAATCAAGTTAAGTCTCTGTAGCAGTCTTGGTTGTCCGGTCCCTGTGGGTCCGCAGTACTTCAGGGCACTGCTTAGAATTGACCAACTAGCCTGGCTTGACGACAGGAATTGGAGGGGCAGACCAGTTAGTGGGAGCAGGGATTCTTCCCAATTGGCTTCTGTTCACCCTGCAAGCCAAATCCCTAATGAGTAGGGAGGTCCTACCTGTAGAAACAGTGGGAAGGAAATTTGCCAGAGAATGCTCTCAATAGCAAACAGTGTAGTCCAGCAGTAGCCCAAAGCATACTGAGATGATAGCAAAACAGGAATAGGCTGTTCAGCTCATTGAGTCCATTCCACCTATTCATAAAATTTGGCAGATCTTCTTAATCCCAATACCCTGCTGTTTCACTGCACCCCTTAATACCTCTAGGGCTTGGCAAGAGTTATGATGCCGAAGACTTGCCTAATACTTTCTGCAATTTAAGAGAGTGCACACCATTCCAGGCACAGAAATTTGGGCTACTCATAAACATGGCAGTGGTTCCACATGTATCACATTCCTGGCAAAACAAAAAAATCAAGTGTGAAATAAATTAATATTCTAAGTTTCTGGTTTGCCAGAGTTTGCTTTGGAGTACTGCTGGAATTTAATCACCTAACAGCACATAGTTTGCTATTGAGAATTCTGTCTTAGCAAGCTTCCCACTACTCATCTAGTTAGGACCATTCTTATCTGTTAGGGTTTTGCCTTGTGCCGAGCTTGTCCCTCCAAATCCTGCCAGCTAGCCAGGCTGGCCAGTCTATTATTAGCGAGTTGGAGTCCTGTGGACCCATATGTCTCAGGAAATACACTGCGCACAGGATTGACTTGATTCCAACATTCTGTTGCCAAGTGCATCACTTTGGAGAAAACGCAGCCACTCTTCCCCCCACCAGAGGGTAGTATGTTGACTAGATTTATGTCTTTTGAGTGAATTTTGTAATTTTCCATTTAATTGACTCATTATTTCCTTGAACTTTTAAGTTCTTTATCTTCTTATCCGACGGTCTCCAGTAAAGAATATGAGCAAATAAGCTCGAAAGATCAAAGTACATCATACCCATTGGTTTCCTTCTTCAAATAAGATGCAGTAAAACTCACATAAGTCTTATCTTTATAAATCTTATAATCTCTTTAGTCAGAGATGCACCCGAGTTCCATTCAAAGAAAGACTTAGATTTCGTCGCACTCGTATTTATAAATGGCTAAATCATAACTGTTTCTTGATCCCAAATAATCCTAAATCCTAGGCAAATTATCTCCTAACTCATAATTTTTCACTTTAATTTTTCACACAGGGAGTTGCTCGAATCTGGAACGCATTGCCTGAAAGGGTGGTGGAGGCCGATTCAATAACTAATTTTAAAAATACGGTGGACGGGTATTTGAGGAGGATCCGTTTGCAGGGTTATGGAGAAAGGGCTGGGGAGTGGGACTGACATTAATTGCTCTATTCAAAGAGCTGGTACAAACTTGATGGGTCAAATGGCCTCTTTTTGTGCTGTACGATTCTATGATTCTATGATAATGCCTTTACCGAACTTACCAGCTGTATTGAATCGCAGGAAACAAAGTTTGGACTTGTCATTGCACGGGCACTTACCTGCTGCATTGAAGTATGTGTGCACCGTGTATATTATTTTCCTGTAAATTTCCCTGTAACTCATACTTAGTGTAAATCATATTAAGTGTCATGATCCTGACTAATATGATTTATAAGTTTTACTGTAGTTTCTTCTGGAAAATTCCAAAATATTGCTTCAAGTTTGGATTTTAATAATAATAATAATCCTTACATTTGATATAGCTCCTTTTACATCAGGAAGACATCTCAAAGCACTTCATGGGATTTATTATAAATTGTTGTGGCTATGTACAGTAAACTGATAGCTCAACCCGGGCTTAACTTGTCACCACCATTAATCAATATCCCGGATGCATTTATTTATGTATTAAATGCCTAATCCGCTACTACGGATAAGTCGTCACTGAGCCCTTTTCCCTTGAAGTGCCAAGTTATCAGTTTACTATAAGCTAATACAGCAGGCCACAGTAATGTGCCTTGAAACAGTCATGACATTTTAATTGTTTGAAAATTTAAGTGCAAATTTACTTCCGCCAGTAATTTTTTCCCATTGATTTAAATTGTTATTTAATATTAAATTACAGCAATGAAAGCCACAAATTTTTGACTGCAGCCTGGTTTTCTTCTGCTCTCCATTTGTACCATTAGGTGGTGCTGAAGTACCATATTATACCAAACATTAATGACTACAACAATACAGTGCAGAATTTCATGGAATGCAAACCTTCCTCTGTGCATAATGTAGCTCATCAGAGTTCTCACTGATTAAACTACACAGGAGCACAGATGATCCTGCAGTTTTAATTCAACCCTCAAGTTGGGATTCATAACTCATACTCTAGGTTGGCAATCCATTGCACTGTCAGAGGTACAGTCCATCAACAACAAGATTACATTTGTATAGCGCCTTTCACATCGGGAGGACGTCCCGCTGGACAGTGTACAGCATTTCAGACCCGAGCTAGGGTCAGGGGGGGAGAAGGGGGGTGACAGATGGCATGGACGAAGAGGAGGATCTTGAGGTGGGACTTGAAGGAGGCGGAGTGATTGGGTGATGGAATTTCAGAGGTTGGGGGCAGAGTGGCTGAAGGCCAATGGTGGATCCGGCTGAGCGGAGGGAGCGGGTGGGTTGGTAGGGTGTTAGGAGTTCGCAGAGGTAGGGTGGGGTGAGGCCATGGAGGGCTTTGTATGTGAGGACCAGGATCTTGAACTGGATCCTCTGAAGGATAGAGAGCCAATGGAGTCTGGTGAGAATGGAGGAGATGGAGTCACGGAGTTTGGTTCGGGGGAGGACACGGGCTGCAGAGTTCTGGATTATCTGGTAGTGGCGATGTTACAGAGGTGAGGGAAGGCAGAGCGGGTCGTGGCTTGGATTTGGGGAAGAAAAGACAGTTGAGGGTTGAACAAGACACCTAGGTTCCTGACTGGCTTTGTGAGTTGAAGTTTGCAACCATGGAGGTTGATGCTGCGAGACCTTGAGGTGCAGAGGCACTGGCGCGAGCCAATCAGGAGGGCCTCAGTCTTGTTCACATTCAACTGCAGGAAATTTGCCCTCATCCAGGACTTGATGTCCGACAGGCAGTCTGTCAGGACAGCAGTGGTCCTGGAGTTGAGGGTGGAGGCAGAAAGATAGAGTTGGGTATCATCCACATACATATGGAAGTTGACCCCATATCTGTGGATGATGTCACCAAGGGGGAGCATGTAGATATTAAAGAGGAGAGGGCCAAAGACAGAGCCCTGGGAGACGCCAGATGTGACAGTGCGGGGGCTGGAGGAGAAACCGTTAGAGGCAACAAAGTGGAGACAAGTGAGATATTAAACCAAGGGTCTGTCTTAGGTGGATGTTAAAGATCCCATGGCAATATTTGAAAAGAGATGGGAGTTTAGCCTGGTGTCCTGACCAACAGTGCCCTGGATAAAACTAATAATTCACTGGCTGTTTGTGGGGGGAACATTCCTGCACAAATTAACCATGTTTTTCACCTACAAATACACAAATACAAATACACAGTCACTAACTCCAATTTAGAATAATTTCTGTGAAGCATTTTGAGTATTTTGATGATGTGATGAGACATTATGTGAAATGCACGGATTATTCTATTATACAATTCTTTATTAACCCAAACAGTCCACGTGGAATATCAGCAACAAAGCTGCTGCATCATTGCTCAAGCCTGTGGGTTTCTTATGCGGAAATCCAAACCCCTGTTTTCAGAAGTACAAATACAGAACAAGCCATCGCCTCACTCACTTGGTTATGGGAAATCTGGTTTGTTTCTATTTGCACCGCAGCCCAATTTCTCTGAGACTTTCTGTATTCTCAGCAAGTACCAAGGTCAAATCTGCAGGATCAGTCCTTCCAGGGAGAGATTGTGCTTCATTCCAACAGTCTATCTCTGGAATTTCCACGTGTAGGTGGGATGTATGGAACTCTCAGTGACAAGTCAATCCAATGCAGAAGCAGATTTCTGATGAAGTCAGTAAACAAGGCAGCTTTGTAACTAGTTTTGAAGAACTCTGACAATAATCTGTGGTCTTGTGGAAAGAACACAATGTGCTACTCTGTCAAACCCACCTTCCCATGATTGTGTTTCTGTTTCTTGTCCACGTATGACACGGTGCAATAGAATCAGCCATTCCGCTTTATCTATGTTGTAGTTTTCAGGGTTAAATTTTAACCCTGCTTCCTGTACTCACAGAACATCAAAGACATGGGTGATGCAGATATTCTCTGATTGACTAAGAATGGCAGTGGTATCTGTTTGCAGCAAACCGTGTACTCCCCAGCTTCATTTAGCACAGAAAAACACCAGTTACTGTGACGTGGCTATGTTTTAGCCCCGAGTGTATGACCCTGAGCTCATCCATTCCTGGATAATGGCACTCAATGGATCTGCCAATAGTCAGTTTGAGGTACAGTAAAGATCCAATCCCCCCCACCCTACACTTCCCACCAATGTCATCTGTACAAGTCATGAGATTCACACAATTGACTATCAGGCCATGTAAATGTCTATAATCTACATGGATCCATGTGATATATTATTTTTGGCTCCTTCATTTCCCTTTAAGTGTAATGTGAACTAGGTCCCATAAGCTGTAAGACAAGATACAGGCATTTGAGAGTTATGGTGTACATTCTTACCCCGTGAGTAAGCTGACACCTACATTTATCTGAGAGGAGCACAGTACTGTGAAACGACTCCAATGTGAACATTATGGGAAGTTGTAGTACATTCAGTGTCTTTGGATTTCCTCCCAATGCAATGTGTTGTTGTAAGCCATGGAATGGTATGTGGTGGAGAGGGCGCAATGGGACGCCTCCTGTTTCTCAATTAATTGTTCCGCTCTTCCTCCATATTCCTTGATATTAATAATTCTTGCATTTGATATAACACTTTTCATGTCAGGAAGATATCTTGAAGCATTTTACAGGATTTTGTATTTCGTAGCTGAATGGGGAAACCAATTTATGTGCAGCAAGATTCCACGAACAGCCATTGAAGTGAATGATCAATTTTATCTGGGAGACTGTTGGCCTGGACATCAGGAGAAACTCCTGATTATTATAATAATACTTGAATTTGGGGAGATAATTATTTGGGGAGGACAAGTATTGGGGGGCTTTGGGGAGAGAGCAGGGGATTGGGATTGATTTGGATATAGCTCTTTTAAAAGAGACGCACAGACATGATGGGCCGAATGGCCTCCTTCTGCGCTGTATAATTCTATGAACTCCATTCTCTTTTCGAATAGTGCCATTGGATCTTTATCGTCCACCTGAACAGGCAGACAAGACCTTGGTTTTATCTCTCATCGGAAGGACCACACCTCCAATAATGCAGCATGCCCCAGGAGTGTCAACCTAGATCATGAGTTCAAAGCCCCACAACCTTCTGACTCAAAGGTGAGAGTACTACCAACTGAACCACTGTGACACCCAATGTAGCCATTCTGCAGCTAAGAAACGATACTCAAGTATGATTTTTAGAAAACAAAAAAGACTGAAACACGGTCACTGCTGATGGTCATGACATGCAGTATCTTAACACTGAGTTTGTTCCTTCCCATCCAATACCATTTAACCTGAGTTACACATCAATGTTGTACAGGGATTTGGTGACCCATCATATCACTCAGCTAATTCTGGATAAGGATGGACATTAGCTTGAATAGCTATCGGAAAGCATTTTTATAATAATAATCCTAATAATAATCTTTGCATTTGATATAGTGCTTTATCACGTCTTTGAGATGTCTCAAAGTGCTTCAGAATGTGAATTGACTATATTTTGTGGGCAAACCGCGGCAGCCATTTACGCACAGCAGTGTCCCACAAACAGTTGTGGATTGAATGACCAAATTATTATTTGTATAGTATAAGTATATTTTCCATACTTATATCTCTTTCTAATACATTATTTTATTTATTTTATTAATGACCTACCTGATATAAGGGCATGTAAAACCGGACAGTGAGACTGCTTGGAACAGATAAGAGTATTTTGTGTTTCTACTTTTATTATGACTGCATACAGTACTAAAATACTTTATACCAAAAATGTGTATATCATTCGATGAAATGGTTTAAAAAATATTGCTTTCCAGCTCTATTTCCAGAATTTTGCTTGAAAGTTTGGGCTGAAATTCAGGACATTTCAGAATGCTTTCCTTAGACCAGGTTACATGTTTCACCCCACAATCACAGCCTGGCCTCATTGCAAAAAGCAGCTCTGGTTTAGATGAAGTGAACTTTTTACCTTTGACTGTTCCAATCTCTCGGAATCCACAACATCTGCTGGTCTACAAGATAGGCCAAGCCACTGCTCCACGCTGATTTTTTTCCAAAACTCAGGTGAGATCCAGCAGGCAAAATACAATGTTAAAATCATTTTAAGGCTGGTTTTGCATTCGCACAATTACAAACGCAGACTATTTCATAGAACTGGCAGCTCAAGGAATTTTGCAGCATCACTTCAAATCATTGGTGGTAAAGCAATCGCATGAACCAAAACAGTTCATAACTTGAGCTTGAGTTCCCACACGTTAACGTTAATATTTTGAGTATTGAACTGTAACTTTTTAATCTTAAGTTTAATGCTAATATATAACTATGATACAATTTCACATTTTATATGGTTTATTTATTTATATGCCTGGAGGACATTTCAAACGTGCTTTACACAGCTGGTTGGGTACCTGAGCCGGGATTGGTGGGGAAGGTTGGAAAAATGACTGAAGGCGCCTCAAAGAGGTGGACTTTGAAAGTAGGGGTGAAAGGAGCCCAGTTGGAGGGATAACTGTTATTTAGTATAGATTTGGTATCAAACTAACATTTGATACAGGCTTTTGTAGTTTGTAGCTGAATGGGGCAGCCAATTTGTGCGCAGCATGGTTCCACAAGCAGCCATTGAAGTGAATGATCAATTTTATCTGGGGGATTGTTGGCCTTTTGCTATGTTGGCCATCTAGAACTCCATATAATTTTAGAGCAGGAAGTGTAACTGCTTTATCTCAATCCAAATGGCTTTACTTCTAGCAGTGAAAATGGGACGTTAATTGGCAGAAAATAAAGCTGGTGATATTGCCTGCTAATATATGCCCCACCAGTTGGCAAATTAAATGGATGTAAACCACTAAAACTGTCCAGATAGGCCAAATCATGATCACAGTACAGCAATGTCCATATTCCTCTTAACAGAGGGAATTGCAATCACATATCCCTTAAAAGGAAAGCACTACCCTCCAAGCAGATTTGAGTTCACATGTGTCATAACTGTTATACAAATAGTAATAATAATCCTTGCATTTGATATAGCGCCTTATCAGGTCGGTGAGACGTCTTAAAGCTATTCACAGAATATATTGTAAAGTGGATATTTTGTGGATGAAACACAGCAGCCAATTGTGCACAGTAGGGTCCCACAAACAGTCGTGACCAAAGTTTGCCAACTGGGTTCCTACTTAATCTAGGTAAACAGAGGAGTGTGGAAAAAGGAAACTTGCCTAAGGTTTCACCCTACAAATACCTTTTCTTCATATTAAGAGCACAAAGGAATTGGAGAAAACGATACAGACCCCGTTCCTACCTACAAATTGGTTGTGCATTCATATGTTTTATGAGCAACAGACAAAATATAATCTTCTAAGTAACGTAATAGAACTCTAATTTTTTATTAGTTATATACATCTTAGATACAATGTCCATTATGGGTGAATACAAAATTATACAAAAAGTAAATACAGTGCCTAAATAGTCAATATTAGATATATTCATTCATACAATATTTCAGTTTGCCCTATTATCAATTTATATGGAGTAATACATTTCAAATCCAGTGGATGGCAATAAAGATATATTGTTTCCCATCACCAAACATTCACATTTCATTGACATAGATTGAGTAACTGAGTTTGGTGATGTTGACAGCCGGTTATTTTTCATATACTTAATGAGGAAATTTTCAAAATACAGTGTAAAGCACTAAAACAATCTATCAAAGTACACAGTTATTTGAATGTAAAGTGGTGATAAAGCTGATAGTGAAATGACATTAGACCACCCAGACGTCATGGTTCCACATCAAAAAGCTGGCTATAATGTGGCAGTAGTCAGATAATGAAACTCACACAAGCCCTAAAGATGGTCAGTGACTTACCTATTTATGTCTCTTTTCCACTCCACTAGTGACTGGTGCACCTCATACTTCCTGATCTCTACCCAGATCCTGATATGTGGGGATTTATTTCATTACATCATCTACCCAGATTCTCCTCTGCTCACCTCCTGATCTAGTGCTATTTCCATTCCCATTTTTCATACAGTGAAACCCTCAACAACCTTCCCTGCATCTCCCAATAATGCGCCAACGGTGTGCGTCATCTTTCATTTAATTTAATTGCTTGTGTAGAAAATGAAAAAGTCATACTTGCACTGTCAAGGGGCTCTTATACAGTTCAGTTAAAGCCTTATTGTTCGAGACTGTAGAGAGGTGTAAACTGCATCTGAGCTGCACCACATCTGACCTGGAAATGCTATACATGTTCGCTAGGTGAAAAGAGAAATTGGATTCCATTTCCACCATTGTCTTACTTTCATGAACACTACATACTTCTATACCCCCGGCCGCTCCCTCTCTCAGGCTGGTTTTATTACACTTGATGTTAATGCATCAGTACTGGCTACACTTCACATGCAATTGCTACAAGGGAATGGTACACTTATGCTTTAACACTGGCAAGAGCAGTAAAGAGAACTTGTTAATGGAGGTATTCTGCAACCTGTGGAATGTATGGATTTTCTGTTCTGTACTTTGAGTGAAATATCCTTTCCTTAAATTGGCAGTGGGGTATAGAAGAGCGGGGAGTTATAGTTAGGTGGTGGAGTGCAGCAATTGATCTTTGGCTCAGATGTATTGAGCTGACCCAAATTCTCACATGTTTGATTGCCACCGCTTCCATAATGTTGACTGGAACTGCAACTGCTTGACCGATTGACAGCTTCAGAGAACATCATCTCCTTGGCTGATGCTTTCAACCTGCGAAACAAAAAAGCAATGAAATGGAATACTTTCTGTGTCAGATGCAATTTAAAACATTTGCTTTTATTTCAAGCAAACAGACATGAGAAACCTAATGCGACACCTCTGGGAATCAAATGAATCTCACTCAAACAAATGCTAAAAATACTCACAAAAAGGAAAGAGAGACTCTCAGTTTTTTTGATAGTGCCTATTGCTTGCAAAATGTCGAATGTTGAAATATCTGCTCTTTACAGTAATTATCGTCACATGTAGTGACTGTTTTTTGTAGGTAAACACAATGTACATCAAAGCCCTGCAAACCCCCACAAAGTCAGTAGAGGAAGATTCACAAGGAATCCTTTGTCCTTTTCTTTTGTTGATCTCTTTGTGCCAACTACTTCTGAACTTGGGAGCCAAAGCATGTTACAAGGTCCTCTGCTGTTGAGAATTTGAGTAAGTTGGATTCTCTGGTTCATAAAGTGTAGTGTCTGCCCATATTTCAAATGACAAGAATAAACAGCATTCTCTGTATATTAGATTGAACAATGGTTTCCAAAACTATTTAATAATTTTCCGCTATTCTGCGTGGCCCTTATTGTAAGATAAAATGATCTTACAGGCCAAAACTGGATGAAATTTCTGGTCTCAAGTGGGTCTTGACAGCACCAGAGGCAGAATTTACTGTGCAGCTCTGCCATGGAAGGCAAGACTGCCATTGGATACATCAAAGTAACACACTTGACTGAAGTATCCCACATTCCCTTCGCCTTGCTCCCTCCCTTGCCTCCTTCAAGGTGTGTGTCAAAACTCTCCTCTTCGACCGCGCCTTTGGCCACCCTCCACAATCTCGGGTCAAAATCCCTGACTGTCCAGCACCTTGGGACATCTTCCCGACGTGAAAGGCGCCATACAAATCTGTGAAGCTCTTTGGGACGTCTAGAAGACGTGAAAAGCGCTATATCAAATGCAAGGATTATTATTATATTATTATTGTATTGTGTATGACTGTTTAAAAAAAAGTTCTGCAATACTGGATCAATTTCTGTTTTGCAGCTAAAGCAAGTAAAAGAGAAAACAAATCTATTCTTTGCTTTAGGAAACAGGAAAGTGCAGGAAGGAGTGAGAAAGCAGCCAGGACTTTTACTCTAAACGTTGCCATCTAATTAAGTAGAATGCATGGCAAAGACAGCAGATAATTGATGGGATACTGATAAATGGCTAAGCTTGACTGGAGAATTAAGCTGCTGCTGCAAGTTGCCGTGGTTGTCAAGATTTCAAATGATGTTTACGCAGCACAAATTTAACCCTACTTTCAAAATGCATTTTGTCAGAAAAAGGACTTCCTACTTAATCACCTTCCTGCAAATTTAGGGCAGACACTCATGATGCCAAAACTTCATGTGTTTCTTGCTGCACACAATTTCGTTTTGTACTAGATGTCTCGTATTTTTCCTGGCATCCGTTTCCTGTTATAATTACTGCATACAGTATTGTGTATTGTGTACACTCACCCAAAAGACTGAGAGATGCTTGCTTTGCTCTCCAACCACATTAGATGCCTCATCTCTTCCGAAGCTAAAACCATCCCACTGTCAGTTTGATAATCCTGAGAAAAAAAGCAACAGTTGCACCATTCAGGACTGCCATGTGGCGTCAATTAACATTTATATAGCTGTATATCCCGAAGAGAAGTCTCGAAGCACTACATAGATGTAACTAAATAAATCTAACTAATAATAATAATCCTTGCATTTAATATAGCCCTTTCAGAAGTACTGAAAAGGATTCAAAATGTTTGCAGCATAATCCAGAAACATTTTTGTTTTCTATGTATCGTTAAATCACATTTATCCACAGACCACACACAGTTACTCCACTTTACAGTATATCCTTGAAGTGCATTGGGACATTCTCTTGACATGAAAGGTATTATATCAAATATAAGGATTATGTTTATTATCATGTCTCACATTGACTCATAACAAGTCTCACTTATATAATAATCTTTGCACTTTATATAGTGTTTAGCACAGTGTGGAGATACTTCAAATTGCTTCACAAGATTTTATTGTGAATTGTATTGACTGTGTACTTGTATGCAAAAGCAGCAGCTAATTTGTTCACTGTAATGACCCACAAACAGCAGTGAAATGAATGATTAATTTTATCTGAGGAATCTTTGGTCTGAGTATCGGGAGAAACTCCCATTGCTTTTCAAATAGTACCAGGGATCTATAAAATCCACTTGAACTGGCAGACAGGACCACAGTTTTGTAATCTCTTCTTCTGAAGGACAGCCTCTCCAACAATGCAGTGCTTCTCAAACATCTCATTGGAGGGTCAGTGCACACTGTGAGTTCAAAATCCCAATGTGAGGCTTAAACCCATAACCTTCTGACACAGAGATGAGAATATTACCAACTGAACTAGGCTAAGCCTTTCATGTAGAATGATTGTTTCATAGCACTTCACAAATATTGTATAATATGCACACTGACCACAGAGAAGAAAAGGGGAATGAACGATTTTAACCAAAGGCTGAAAGATATGTTTTCAGGAGGTTTTGAAGGCAGGGTGAGAGAGAAAGCGAGGAAAAGAGGGGTTGAAAGAGATTTCCTGGGGACAAGGATGAAGCTTCAGTCACAAATAATAATAATCCTTGCATTTGACATAGTGCTTTTCACATCTTCTAGACATCTCAAAGCGCTTCAAAGAATATATTGTAAAGTGAATTGAGTGTATATTTGTGGGCGAAACGCGGGAGTTAATTGCTCACAGCAGTGTCCCACAAACAGTTGCAGATTGAGTGACCGAGTTATTATTGGGTTTTTTGTTTTTTTTAATGGTGGCATAGAGGGAGTGAGTAGTGAACAATACAGCAGAATTGAAGGAGCAGACGGTATAAGTCCGGCTGACGAAAAAAAGTCTTGCACATGGATTCATTAAAAGATTCCTTATGAGGAAATAGCATACATGCATGGGAAATTCATAATTAAAAATGCAGGCACATGTACCGTAAATTCTAGTTGGACCTTGCATACACTGGGAATCATTTTTAAGAGGAATATAAGAGGTCCCTGTGCTTAAGGAAACTTTACTTAAAACTGATTGACACAAACTATATTTAATAATTGCATAAAATCCTTCTTACTTTTTACCTTTTTGTGATCTTCAAATCTGGCGAGCCCAGAAACTAAATTAAGAGTTGCCCAATGGCTTACTGTTGTTATTTTTCATTCCATGTCCTCTCTTTTTCATTCCCCTGATTAACATTTCTCTCATTAACCTACCATTTTGGGAAGTTGTTATGTCTGACAGAGTTTCCCTTGTCTGTCCTAAGTTTTTGTGCGCTCTTGCCAATCATTTTGATTGGACTTATTTGGACTTTGGCTCATTTGTTAAATACCGATACTGCGATTAAATACATTTTTGTGAAGAAATAACCAGTTTTAGTTTTACAAAAAGAAATAAAATCAGTAAGTGCTGGAAATCCACAGCAGGTCAATCAGCATCTTAAGAAAAGAGATACATTAATATTTCAAATAGGACCTTTCATCAGAACTCTTTTTATCTCAGATTTAATAGCTCCTGGCTTTGATGCACTCATCGAGTGTAGAAAAACAAGTGCTGGAGTGGGAAGCCAGGTTTATACACTCCACTCCACAATGGCCAGGGAAAGGAAACAAACAGCCCAACAACTGTGCAACTGGCTACTTTAATAAGGGTGAAACATTCTACGTCCAAATTCTCACACAGACCAAGGGATGGCTCCAGAGCTTTGAATGAAGAATGCCATTTCTAGGCATCTGATTTATACTGGACTGGTGCCATTCGGCCCAACTAGTCTGTGTGGGTATTTGTACTCCACACAAGCCCCTACGTCTCCTATTCCCCTCACCTACACCCCTCTATTTCCATCTCACTCATGTATGTAAAATGAACACACCAGATTATTGCTAGCCACGTTTGTGGCTAATCAAATGTAGCTGCTGAACCAGTAGATTCCAGCAATAAAACATGAAATTATAACCGGAAATGCATAATCACTTCTCTCCCTCTCGCGTGAATAGTCCCGTGTCTGCACGGACTTATGATCAAACTGTTTCATCTTGCACACAAAAATTATGCTTTCATATTGTTTTAATTCACGGAAAAAGGGTAGGCATAGCCCCAAAGAATCCAAGCACATCTCAAATTATATTGTTAGGCTTATCGTAACATGGTACACATTGAGAATCTATAACAGCGATTTAAAATGGATTTCTCAATAAGAAAACAAAATGCAAAATACTGCAGATGCTGGAAATCTGAAATAAAAACAGGAGTCGCTGTTGACTCACTTTCCTTTCTCAGTGGATTCTGCCTGACCTGCTGAGTGTCCCAGCAACTCTGTTTTTGTTTCTCAATAAGAACTCTGAATAACTAGAACAAGGACATCAGGCAAACCCATGGAAACTCCACTCCAACAGGACCTACATACACAGCAAAGTGAGGCTGTGAGCTTGTGTGACTCAACATCTTTGTAGATTTCATTGTGCACATTTGAGAAGCTTGTGATACATATAACAATAATAATCCTTGCATTTGACTAGCGCCTTATCACATCTTCGGGACGTCTCAAAGCACTTCACAGAATATACTGTAGTGACCGTATATTTTGTGGGTGAAACGCGGCAGCCAATTGCACACAGTAGTGTCACACAAACAGACATGGATTGAGTGACCACATTATCCTTTTTAAAAAGCGTTTATTGCCCCCGGAAATGCGATCCGCTAAACGACTAACAACCAGGTTCCTATTTACTGCTGGTAAACAGAGGCGTATGGAGTAAGGAATCTTGCCCAATGTTTCCCCCTACCCAGGAATCAAACTCAGGTTCGCTCGCTTGCAAAGCGAGTGCTCTAACCACTACCTACAGGACTCCACAAAATCACTGCGAAAAGGTGTCAGACATTAAGAGAGGTTCTTCATTTCCTTTTTATTGATGTGCTGGTGACGTGACAGAGAGCCAGAGAAACTGGGCAGAGCCAGGGATATTGGGTATAGAGAGACTGACTGGCAGAGCCAGAGAGAATGGACACAGAGAAAGTGGGCACAGAGAGACTGCGCAGAGCCAGAGAGAATGGGCGCAGAGACTGGGCACACAGAGAATGGGCACAGAGAGATTTGGCAGAGCCAGAGACAATGGGCACAGAGACTGGGCAGAGAGAGACTGGGAACAGAGTGTTATTATTATACATGACACAATAATAACATTATTATATATTATTATATGGTACAATAATAATCCTTGCATTTGATACAGCACCTTATCACGTCAGAAGAACATCTCAAAGTCCTTCACAGGATTTACTGTGAAATGGAGTGACCGTGTATTTGTAGGCAAGTATTATATTATATCATATTATATTAAAGGATGCAAGTGTAGTTGCACTTAAAATAATAATAATAATCCTTGTATTTGAATACAGCGCTTTTCACGTCTTCTAGACGTCTCAAAGCGGTTCACAGGATATGCTGTAAAGTGAATTGACCGAATATTTGTAGGCGAAATTGCGCACAGCAGTGTCCCACAAACAGTCGTGGATTGAAAATGACCAATTTATAATTGTTTGTTTTTTTGGAGGGATTATTATTAGGCGTGTCGAGTAAGGAAACTTGCCCAAGGTTTCGCCCTGCCTGGAATTGAACTCAGGTGTCTCGCTTGCAAGGCGAGTGCTCTAACCACTGAGCTACAGGACTCCAGTATGTCTTGAAACAAAGCAAGGGTTATGAAATAATAGCGAGCAGGCTTCAGAATTACCAAAAAACATACATCACTCGAAGGCATAAGCTCAGGTTGCAGCTCTTCGAATGTCTTTAAAGTCCAAGTTTGCTTCTTCATACAAGTGTTGATATACCTGCAATGACAGACATGTTAAATGCTGGACTCAGACCAACTTTTAAGTGAAGTCAAAACATTCTCCTTTTAAGTCATTCACCTGGCGATAGCTATTTCACCAACTGTGGGTGAGCTATAAGTTCAAATGGAAGCAGTTGTGTCATTTATATCCCACTGAAACATCAAACTCTTGTACAGAGTTATGACTGAACTGTAATATCCTGCTGAGAATATTTACCGGTGGCCTCAACAAAGGTATTTGTAACTAGAACGTCTGAATCAACGGATGCCACAGAGTTATATGGGTAAGCAGGATGTTCTTAGGAGACGGATATCATTCTGAGACTTGCAGCCATTTAAGATGAATGGCAAACAGTATTTAATATGGAGAAATGGACGATAATGCCAAACTGTGCTAAAAATAACCAATATGAAGCTCTATCATTAAACGAAGCACAGCAGGAAAATTATGTGTGCGTTCCAGTGACTAAACATACAACGTCATTGTATTAAGATATTCGGTAGTAACCACTGAGGCAAATAGAGTGATAGGGGAATATCTGGTGTTCAATAGATCAAAGGGTAAAACCAACATTCTGAAAAGCATTTCTGAGCCATATTAATGTAAATGCAGATTGTCAGACTCACTATAAACAGACCCCACCCCCCACCTCCATTAGAATTTGTTGATGAAATACAGCGAGTCAATTAAAGTTTTGAAAAGCAGAATAAAAACACTAATTCAACAAGGGGTTAAAGGGTTCACAAGCTTCATGCACATTTCTCTTCCCAATTTCCCTTCTAGACTTGGTCTGCCCTCGGAAACCAAAAATGTCTAGTGGGCCCAGCTGATGTGTACGGAATCTGTCAAAGCCTCTGTGGTTTGGCTTTTAAGAGGGGTGCGTAGATACTCATCAGTCCAACTCCTCATCCCAAGCTCATACTCCAGCTGAAATCCTGGCACTTCCATCTAGCAGAAAGCCAGAGGCCATGGTTCGAAGCCAGATATTTTGGTCTGTTACACAATCATTTTATTTCAGAGTAATTCTTTGTGTGGTGAGTACGATTTGCATTGGATCAGAAACGAAACAGCAACAAATACAACATTTTACAGTTCAGATTTTTCCATCTTTTCTAAACCTAAGGCAACACACAACCTTTTGGTTGTATTTACAGGCAGGTCTTTTCCTCAAACACAATACAAACCAACATCAAAGTCTATTAGCCTTGAAATTTGATTCAAGAAAACACCACAGCCCAGCATCCTCCCCTCTCCCATTCAAACAGCTGTGCATAATGTGTTCTTTAGTCGAATCTGAGTTTAAATTGCACACAAATTCTTATTTTGTTCAGCAAGATTAATAATAAACTTTGCAGTAACTTAGAAATGCTATTGAGGAAGTTAGGTCTAAAATGTGATGAGTCGTTTATTCAGGAATCTGGAAGTAAGTCACACCAACTGGTGGAAACTCCCTCCAACTCAATCCACTTTCAGATCAGAGTTTGCACAAGGTGGGTGAAATATTTTCAGTTACAGGGAAGAATCCCCATTCCTGGATTAAGGAATCCTGCTTGAAATCATCACAGCTTAGACTTCATGTCTTGCCTCAAACAGAATCCTATGTCCTGATTCTTTATAAACTGAAATTTAGCCTGAACACCAATCTGGGGGGGGGGGGAACATCTCTGACATGTTACAACAGAAGATGACATAAAGCATAATTCAATTGCAGTCTATATTTTAACTTTCAACACTTAAGGCAGCTAGACAATATGTCAGATGTAAAACACAGTATAATGTGAACATATATAGACGGTATTGTAAACAGGTATAAGATTATATTTGTGATGTTTAAGGTTTTTTAAGGCTTTTAATTAATCTTCATATACGTCAACGCACTTCCCAGTGGAATTGATATCAATTCTACTGTATCTATGTATCTATTTAATGTTTTTAAGGCTTTCAATTAATCTTTATACATATTAGAATGTAACCTACCCATAATCCTTTAATAAGGTTTGTTTGATTTAATGACTAACTTAGCATGAGTTAGAAGTAGCTTTGCTAGACCGGTTGAGGACAGCTTCTGATTAAAAGGCTCAGACAGCTGCCTCTCTCAACCCTGAAAAAACAAGCAGGTTGTGGAAGGCTGCCCAGAACTTGTCCATATCTCTCTCTCTCTGCACAGCAACTTGCAAAGGGTGGGGGTTATATCTGTGAGATGGAGTTAGAAACATATAAAAGAAAGATGTAATTTTCTTTGCAGTGGAAACAATATCGATTCTACAGTATCTATGGTCTCAGTTTTAAGAATAAGTTAAGCTGTTTGTATTACTTAATAAACCTTGGATTATTACATCACCATATTGGTCGTCTCCATCTCTTACACAGGTAAAATATTTATTTTCAAGTGGGAAGAGTATACAAAGTAGGTTTCGAATGAACAGAAACTGCACTGAGCTCTATTTCATTTCCAATTTTCTCCTCTCCCCTGATAGCATTTGACCCCTTTCCCTTGTTCGGGGTGGGGGTGAGTGGGGGGGGCACGGGTGGTGCAGTTCCCTCTGATCTCTCACCCTAGTGACCATTATTCATGTGTGAGCCTTGACAAGCTATTTGATATGGAGTGATATCATAGCCATACACAATCTTGTTGAGTCCCAGTGAATGACTTACATGAGCGCATTATCTAGAAGGAGTCCATGAATAACAGTCAGGAGCAGGAATATAAACTGATTTCCTAGAATAAACTGATTCTAGGTTCCAATTGCTAAAAAAAACTATCTCCAACTAGGTTCTGCTCTGTAAAACAATGATTTTGTCTTTCTTTGACTCATAATCTTTCTTGGGGAAGATTACCAAACGTTTTCTCCAGCAGTCGTGGATAATAGTGAAATGCAATCTCACCCAAAACTTCCTGTTCGTTCAGAATTAAACGTTGCATTCTCCACTCCATCTCTTAAGCATGAGGCTACAGATGCAGGAACTGAACAGTGAACACTATTTGATACCACCATGGTGTTCAGCGGAATGTAATCCTTTCCATCCTGCAAGGTAGGAAGACAAAATTCAGTCATTTATTCAATGACTGTTTGTGGGACACCACTGTGTGCAATTGGCAGCCGCATTTCGCCTACAAAATACACAGTCAATCCACTTTACAATATATTCTGTGAAGCGCTTTGAGACATCTCAACAACATGATAAGACGCTATATCAAATGCAAGGATTATTACTATAATTTAATCTTTTACCTGTGCATTGTTTGTTCATTAACAGAAGGGATTACAGGGCTGAGAAATAGAATTGGTTTCCTTTTTGCATCCAGTGTTAGCTTCAGTTCTCCCTGTTTAGCTCAGGCTCAATCCCACCACAGAAGAACACCCTCTACTGGATGAGCCTGGTGATACCTCATTTTTATAGGCTATAACACCCACTTAAAGACAATAAAAAAGGTGGTTGGTGGACATTACTTTGCACAAATTGGCTGCTGTGTTTGCCTACAAATACACAGTCACTAAACTTTACAGAAAGGCACATGAGGTGTTTTGATGTGAGATGGTATGTCAAATGCAATGATAATTATTTTTCGGATAATATTTAACTGAAAAAAATATTTTGTGGAAATTATTTGTGGACTTTGAACCTAGTCCTTTTCTAATGACAATTAGTGCATTGGATCAATAATATCTAGGTACCTGTTGAACATTTGCCTGCAGTAAATCTCCAAGTCGTCTCACAAGCTCAGAGAAAGTGGGCCGGTCTTTGGGATCACTGTGCCAGCAGTCAAGTGTTGTTTGGTAACTAGAAATAAACCAATGAAGACTTAGCTTGCTTGACTGTAATATACACAGTTGTTATAGACAATAATGTTCCTAACTTTTTGGTGAAAATCAGCAAGAAATTAATAAAGGCACATTCAATTTAAATATTGCCGCTTTTCTCCACCTCTGCCACATCACCCACCTGTTACCATACCTCACACCCAATCAGCTGAAACCCTCATTCACATATTCATCACCACTGGCCTTGATTTTTCCAATGCCCTCCAAACCGGTCTCTTCAGCTCCACCACACACACAAGGCAAATGATCCAAAACTTAAATCCCTGCATCCTCACCCATACGAAACTCTGTACCCCTATTACTCCAGTTCTTGCCAGGCTCCACTGGCTCACTATTGCAGAACGGATCAATTTCAAGATCCTCACACCTACTTGCAAATTAATTCATGTCCTAGCACCTTCCTACCTCTCCAGCCTGCTTACATTGGCGGCTGTGCTTTCAGTAACTATGCCCCCAAATTTTTGGAACTTTCTGCTTCAATCCATCCACCTAGCCCCTCCATGCTCATCTTCCGATCATATCTGCAGACCTTCTTCTTTGACTTGTGCCCAGGGTCTTTCCTAGGCTCAAGCTCCACACTGTTAAGAGTTCCGAGACACTACCCACATGAAGGGTGCTATATAAATCCAAATTGTTAAACATTATATCAAGACATTGTCTCCTATATAAATACAAGTAGTTGTTGTTATCAAAATTTATGGATTATTACTTTGTTAATATTTTCCCTACAATGCAACAAAAAGATTGTGCAGTGTCTATTTCCGCATTAAATCTCATGAATTCACTTAGCAAATAACCGTAATAATAATAATGATAATCCTTACATTTGGTATTGCTTCTTTCATGTTGGGAGGACGTCTCAAAGGAGGCTTCACAGGATCGACTGTGGAGTGACTGTATATTTGTAGGCAAACGCAGCAGTTCAATTGCACACAGCAATGTCCCACAAACGGCCATGAAACAAATTGGGAATATGACACTTATATGGGGATTGCGCACTCAGCCAAAAGTCAGAAAAGTTACCAAAAAAATAAGCGAATAATTCCAAATTGTTCTAAAGATATCGAGGAACAGTCAACCAGCCTTTACCAAAATTGCAAAGTCAGATCCGCAGGGATTTCCACATTTAACGGGAACCCGGTGTGAATCCAGACACAGGCAGGAAAACAGGAAAACATTGACTGCAGTGGTTTTGCTGATGTTCTTCCTGCTTTCAAAGTAACTGCAGAGATTCTCAAGGAAAATACACAGACAAGCAAAGTATGGTCTCTGGGAATCCTGGAGGACTTCTGTATTCCTTCACAGTTCATCCTTTCTCAGCCTGAGTCAGCAGAAATCACTGACATCTTGAACTGCATTCCCAATAATGGTGGGATGTGAAATAGCAGTGGGCCAGGGATAGGGCAGATATTCTTGCAACAACAACAACTTGGATTTATATAGCACCCTCCACGCCGTATGGCGTCTTAGAGCGCTTTACAGTTTAGGATCCCGGGACCGAGCAGAGGGGTGGGAAGGTGACCAAAGGCGCGGTCAAAAAGAAAGGTCTTCAGCAGAGATTAAAGAAAATCAAAAAGCCGAGAGAGAACGCCCTCCTCCACCTCTCCTTCAAAAAGGTAAAACCGAGCAATGAAGAGAGAAAGTCAGAGCAGAAAGACACCTTAAACATAAAAATGCATTATTAAGTAGGAGGAGTTATTTGTGGAGTCCTATATTGGTTAGAGCACTCGCCTCACATGCGAGAGGGCCCGGGTTTGCTTCCCTGGGGGAGCGAAATCTTAGACACGTTCCCTTACTGGTTATCTAGCGTTAACTAGGAAACCGCTTGTTAGTTGATTGGCTGATTGCTTTCCAGGGATAATAATCCCTTCAAAAAAAACTATGATAATAATTATTTGGTTACTCAATTCATGACTGTTTGTGGGACACTACTGTGTGCAATTGGCTGCCCGTTTTGCCCACAAACTACACAGTCAATTCACTTTACAATATATTCTGTGAAGCAGGTTTGAGCTGTTTAAACAACGTGATAAGATGCTTTATCAAATGCAAGGATTATTATTATTACAAATAGTTATTTGTATAACAACATACATTGTACTGCAATTTTTCTCTGTATTTCCTAGGTGATTTCATAAAATGCACCTCAATCAGTAATAGGAGGATAATGGATTCCATATGTTTCGTGGTCGTGTTGTGACTCATGTGTATAAATGAAAGTCACCAAGGAAATAGGAAGTACTGTAGGAAGTACAGGAAATGCATAGTCTACAGGAAACGTCTGATTGTGATCTGGGAAAGAGAGAGCCACTTCTTCAATATAATGCTGACAAGCAGACATATTTCTTTACTGGTTCTACTAAAGTAAAAACATCAGAGAATCAATATTTCCAAGTTGTTTTATTCCATTGTTCACTGAGGAGATTCACTAAAGCTTTGATCTGTGACTGGAAAGAACCATTTTCACACAGTATTTTGATCAAGGATTTTTACAGTAAAGAATAAAGAGTTGGGAAGCAAATCTTGTGACTCTGGGCTAATGAGACAACATTTACAAAGTTGTTATTCCTGGAATGGGGAGTTTCATGTAGAATATGACCCTGGAAAGCTCACTGCTGTGCTCAATTGGCTGCCGCGTTTCACCCACAAAAGACACAGTCAATTGACTTTACAATATATTAAGTGAAGCACTTTGAGACAGCTCAATTACGTGACAAGGCTCTATATCAAATGCAAGGATTATTATTATCATGTTAACTATCTGTGAAAGTATGTCCTATGGTAGATCTATCTTAAAAATCTTATTTAAATGAACACAAAAAAAAACTTTTAGCATCAGAACTGATCAGTATTGAAGACATCATTTCACTGTATAACTGGCCTTCTCCTTTGCACAGACACATTAAAGTTTATCACAAGCTTCTTTACTATAGCTGCAACATTTCTTGACCAACTAAAGCCAATCCAGTGCTGCCTATTGCTGGAAAAACACATATCAGTAAATCTGCATTAACTGCATGAATGTTTAAAGAAGTGCTAACAACGAGATTCTCTTTAAGTGAAATTGTATCTTTTCATTTGAACATGATAGTGAAATCATTTCAAATATTATAAGGTTTCGTGAACAGTAGTATGGGATTGGGGTCTTTTTTTATATTCACAAAGTGTATTAAAGCCTCAAATGCAGCAGCCAATTTGCCCGTAACAATGTCCCACACACAGCCATGAAGGGAACTACCAATTTTATTTGGGTAATTATAATCTAGGATCAGGAGAATCTCCCTTTTCTTTTCAAATAGTGTTGTAGGGCTTTAACGTCTGGAGAGCAGACCAGCCTCGATTTTACATCTCATAATAGTAACAATCCTTGCATTTGATATAGTGTCTTATCATGTCATTGAGATGTCTCATCTGAAGAATGGTACCTCCTTCAATGCTGCACACGCCCAGTGCTGCTTTGGAGTGTCAGCCTGTCTAGACCATATGAGTTCCAAGTCCGGATTTTAACACACGAGTAACCCACCATTAGAATGTTTTGGGGATAATCACCACTACACCAGTAAATGTAACAGAATTTGCTCCTGCAAATCAGAGAACTTTGCTCTTACTTTTTTTTCACAATTCCACTACCTTTAATGGTGTGGCAGAGATCCCAAAGAAACCTCTGAAAGTAGAGGGTAAACACCTTGACATTATCATGTTACACTTCCGTATAGTGTCAACTCCTCTCTTGCATGTGGAGGCAACTGGAGATCTGACTCAGAGTCAGGTCTAAGAAAAATGTCATTGTGACATTTGACATTCAACATTGGGGAACCAGAAGTCGCAATTAATGCAATTCCTGCGTGTTCTACATGCGTGTTCAGAACCCAGTTCTACATTACTGTGGACCCAACCTTACATTATTTGAAATTGTTTCATAAACATTGTAAAAATGGAACAAAGGTAAAACTTGCAAGAATTTTAGTTTAACCAAAAATATATGACTCCTCGCTGACCGCCTCACCATACACACCCCCAAATGAGATCATTCTTGGTCAAGAGAAACAGGTTACATCACAGAGCAAATATAAAACTGTGGGTGTACGTCAATTCCCAATGTTCTCCCCACTCTTTTCTATGAAGAGCCATTGTGTTAAGTGAATAGCAAATTAGGTCCACAGTTTGCAGTGTTACAGCTCATACCCACATACACTGGATAAACTCAAACAGCAGATTAATGGCCTGAAGGTCTTTGTATAATGAAAATCTGTTAATTGTTCATCTCAACCATTCTGTTTAATACCTCATTAGTCACTAATTAGACTGGATTCCAGCCAGATATACTTAATTCCAAAGCCTTTAACTGTCATGCTATACACTTTATACTGACATTTTGTAGTGCACTTCATTCATTACTTTTTAAAATTGTAACACCTTCATTAGTATGTACAGCACTGTAGAAATTCATTATAATAATCCTTTCTCTGCCCTCACCATCTGGAATTATCTTCTGACACTTCTCTCTTTTTCTACTTTCAAAGCCATCTAAAGACCTATCTCTTCGATTATGCCTTCAACCCTGACATCCAAGGCTGCACTCTCCACCTCGCAAAGCCAGTCAGGAACCTCGGCGTTTTGTTCGACCCTGAGCTGTCCTTTCTCCCTCACATCCGCACCACAACTGGCACCGCCTTCAATCACCTCCGGAACATCGCCAGACTACGGCATTACCTCACCCCTCACGCTGCTGAAACTCTGGTCCACGCCTTTGTCACCTCAAGGCTGGACTATGGGAACTCTCTCCTCGCCGGCCTTCCTGCCACCTCCCTCCACAAGCTGCAGGTCATTCAGAACTCTGCAGCTCGTGTACTGTCCCGCACCAGGCTTCGGGACCACATCACTCCCACCCTCGCTCGCCTCCACTGGCTCCCCATCCCCCAGAGGATTGATTTCAAGATCCTCATCCTCACCTACAAGGCCATTCACGGCCTTGCTCCCTCCTACCTCTCCGACCTACTATCCCCCTACCTACCTGCCCGTACCCTGCATTCCTCTGGCTCCGGTCTGCTCCACGTCCCCCGCCCCAATCGCCCTACCATCGGTGGTCGGGCCTTCAGCCTCTCAGCCCCCAGGCTCTGGAACTCTATCCCCCAGTGCCTTCGTCTTGCTTCCTCCCTTTCCTCCTTCAAGGCCGGTCTCAAAACCTTTCTCTTTGACCGTGCCTTCAGCTCCCCTCTCGACTCTCTTCCCCCTCCTCGCTCCCTCCCTTCCCTCCCCTTACCCTGACCATTTCCCCCCTCCTCGCTCCCTCCCTTCCCTCCCCTCACCCTGACCATTTCCCCCTGCTCGGGTCATGACCCAACTGTGCAGCGCCTTGGGACGTCCTCCTGACGTGAAAGGCGCTTTATAAATGGAATCTTGTTGTTGTTGTTGTTGTTGATATCTCCCCCACCTCTCTCCCAACTCAAGCTCCCACCCTATCTGTGTAAAGCTGGTGGAGATGCTTGCCTATGCGAAAGATTCCATATAAGTGCAAATTGTTGTCATTGTTGCTAGGAGACTCCCAGCAACCCCAGGTAAAATACTGTTTCATTTATAACACACTTTGTGGTCACAAATATCTCAAGCTCTTCCTTGATGAAGGGAGACAGATCTCTGAAGATGGGACTGGTAATCAAACTTGAAAATGACAACCAATTTCCCAGCCTCTATGAATTTCCAACGTTGAGTTTAACTGACAACTTCTAACTTACATGTCTGGAGTTGAATATTCTGGGGCTCTCATCCTAGTGCCTTCCTTTAATCTTCTGCAGAAGTCCTCATCGATCTGGACCCCTGGGTATGGTGATGCTCCTAAATGTAGTCGGCAGGGAAATGTGAATCATAAGTTACCAGAACAGGAATATGACTCAATTAATTCTGATGAAATCCACAAACTCTTATTTTTGAATATTTTAATGATACGGACACTATAGAGTAGGTGTGTTATGGAGTGATACCTATCTGTCACTACAACCTTTGCACCTGGTTCTAAATTGTGCTTAGTACCAAATACAAGGTCATGCCATGGGCCAGATTCCGCTTTATAGCTCCCACCATTTTGACCTAGCTCCCTCCTCCCCCAGCAAAGACTCTCTCCTTCTTTCCCTTCAGCCATTTCTGAATCCATGTATTTCTGAATCTCATATATATATATATATATATATGAATATATATATATTCATATATGAATATATGTATTCATATATTTCTGAATCTCTTGCCTTTGATATCCAATAACCACAGTTTGTGAAGGAGTATTTTATGTGGTACTTTGTCAAAAGCCTTTTGGAAGTCTACATCATATTACTTCCGCCAATCAATTTAGCTGTCAGTTCCTCAGGAAAGTCTATGAGATTGGTCAGACAAGGCCTACCCTTTCTGAACCAATATTGGCCACCCTGGTGCTCATGTGATATCCTCTATCCCAATCATACTGTATATATTCAGATAGTATGACGTACCTAAAGAAAATATTTCCCACAGTAATACTCCGAAAGACCAGACATCACTTTGAGTATTGTAGACCTTGTCAAAAATGGATTCCGGGGCCATCCATTTGAGAGGGAGCCTTGCCTGTGAACATTGACACATTAAAAGTTATTGACAGGAGCATCTCCTTTTGTGAGCTGAATTTTAATCAATGGTTTTGACTACCTTTCGACAGTATCATTAAATAAACTTACATCTCCCTTTCGTACATAATCCGGGTCCTTATAAATATCTCGTGCAAGTCCAAAGTCACAGATCTTTACCACATTGTTCTCAGATAAAAGGACATTTCTGGCTGCCAGGTCTCGGTGGATGCACTGTAATAAAAGAGCCACATTATCACAACTCGTTTCCTCAATCTTTTGCCACGAATTTCCTGACACCATTATTTATACTGAAGCTTTCTTTTTGCAAAACCCCTTTCCTCAAAAAATAATAATAATAATTTCACATTTTTCCTGGGGAAGTAGACGGAAGTTAGTAGGAAGTCTGCTCGAGTTCCTCAGAACATGTGTAAAAAAGTTGCTTGTTCTCAGCGGCAGCTTGAGAGTATATCATTAAATGTGCTCCTGGTGCAGGGCAGGTCTGGATGAGAGGAAGAGCAGGGCGTCACACACACAGCCACACACTGTGCCTCCAAATGGCCCTAACAAACCCTTCAGCTCAGTTAATGTGAATGCTTCAACTTGGCAAACAGAGGCAACAAGTAGAAAAACAAATGTGAACATTTCCACTGTGATGTTTCCATTACATTTTGCTGAGTTCCAGAACAAAGCACAGGATCTTCCACACACTATGTAAAGCAATGGGCACAGGATGATATAACAGATACTAATAAGCTAGCACTTCCTGACTGAACTGGATTAGATACAAAGCAAAGCTCTAGGATGTGGGTATTTTTCCAAAGCACCTGGTAGGTTCAGATGAATGTGATTAATACATTTACTAACCATAGGATTACTTGATTTCAAATAATTTTAATACAGAAGCTTAAATAAATAATGTACCAGTGGCAGATGTTGATGCTCTGGTATTTGTCAGATTAGCTAGTATTTTTCCATCACTGTTTTTTATAATGAACTGGTATTATTTAGCACTAATTTGTGGATAAAACATGACAGATTTCTTTTCTCAGAATAACTCCCTGTCTGTGCACTCTGGGTACTTGAAGCACATATCTCTCTCAGTACAGCTCTGTAACTCAACAACACACAGAACAATAATTTCCATGTGTAGTTGGGATGTATGGAACTGTCAGTCTGCTGCGGATATGCTTACACATGGTGATGGGTTTCTCCATGTGTCAGACACCCAGCTAACCCCCCCAAAAAATTAAATATGAGGAGTATCGACCTCTCCCCAGTACTGCTAAATAATTGGGCAATAGAGGTAAGATCCCAGGCTCGGGGATTCCCTGCCTCAATGTACTTTGTCCAGTGATTGCCCACAATAGCATAGCTTAAAACAGCAGCAGCACATCATCCCAAAGAGATGAGATGAGAAAAAAAACATCTTTACTTTGGACAATCTTGTTTGCCTCTTGCCAGCCATCTCAGTCCCATTGTATGAAATCTGTGAGCCAGTCACTGCATCATAGGTAATGCAACTGAAAAATTGCAACAGAACTCTCACAATTTCACCTCTCAGACACCAGAAACTAAACTCATTGGCCCCATGGACAATGGACATAAATGCTTTACTCAAAGAATGCACTGACTAATGTCAATGAAATGTATCTGGATCTAGCCCTATTTACAGAACAGAGGTTTTACAGTAATAATTAGTGAGGAACCTGTTCAACTGTTCCAAACTTCGAATATTATATATAGACTGAGTTTCCATTGATCATCTGCTGGATTTCACCATCTTTGGCCACAATGTTTACAGAAGGCTATGTTCCTCAGACAGCGTCACTAATCCCTTACACTCAGCAGATGAAATTGGGTAAGTTTTGAGTCATACGGTTACTCATCATCTTCTCGAATGTTCTCAAATGTTGTGCACAAACCTTTCTCAAAGCCAGAAACTCCATGCCTCGAGCCACCTGGAAACTGTAGCTGATCAGGTCCTCCATGGTGATTGGTTGGTGGAACAAATCATCAGCATCTAACAATTATTAACAAAGAAAAGATCACATTTGCAATATTCCTAAACAAATTTTCTGATCAGGTAAAACACCATAGCTTGCCCTTGATATCACTGTCAGGCAAGCTTTCCTGCTGCATGGTCCTAGCTGGACAAGCAGAGGGAAAGCTTACTAGACAGTGATATCAATGGCAAGCTATGCAGTTTTAGCTAGTCAGACTCCAGCAGTGCCCCAACGCACACTCTGGGGTCCCCAAGCTTTGGCTCTTGCCAACCTGCGCTAATACTTTCCAGAATTAGGTAACTAGGGAGAGAGTGCATCCATTCCCACAATCTACCTCTGGAATTTCTATGTGTAGGTGCGATGCACGGAATTCTCAGTTTGGTTTAGGTATTCTTAAGCACGGTGATGGGTTTCTGCTTGTGTCAGTAGCTGACCAAAAAAATTATTTCACAGACACTCAGTTTTTGATGTGGGAGCAGACTTTTGGATTCTGCTTTACAGGATACTAATTTAGATGCTCCTTCCCCAAACTCTTTAGACTATTTTGCCTCAAATATTTATGCATTTCCCTCTTAGATACAGACTCAGCTTCCGCCATTTGTGGTAAGGCATTCCACGCCCTAACAACCTGCTGTGTAAAATAGAGTAAATCCTTATTATTGCTTGCATGACAATAGTTTCATTGCTTTGCCACTAATTTACAGAAATGACTAAAGATTAGCAACTCATTAACAGATTAATTTCAATATAATTGGGTCAAAGTGAAGTATTGTATTTAAAACGATTACATTTCTATGGAACTCTCCCCTAAATCACTCAAACTCACACTTCTCTTTCAGCTTTCAAAACCCATCTAAAATCCTATCTCTTTCATTGAACCTTCAGCCACCTCCCTCCTACCTCCTTATCTCCCATCCTGCTTCTCTTCTACGCTGTCTCTGTGAAGCACTTTAAGATATGTTCCTTGGGTGAAAGACAACACCATCAACAACTTGCATTTATATAGCACCCTTCACACAGCATAATGCACTGGAGTGCTTTGAGTGGTAGAGTTGGACGGCAAACAAGGGAGAGGTGACCATAATAATAATAATCCTTGCATTTGATATAGCGCTTTTCACGTCTTCTAGACGTCTCGAAGAACTTCACAGAATAGACTGTAAAGTGAATTGACTGTATATTTGTGGGCGAAATGCGGCAGTCAATTGCGCACAGCAGTGTCCCACAAACAGTCATGAATTGAAATGACCAATTTATTATTGTTTTATTTTCTTGAGGGATTATTATCAGGCGTGTGGAGTAAGGAAACTTGCCCAAGCTTTCACCCTGCTGGGAATCGAACCCAGGTCTCTCGCTTGCAAAGCTGTTGCACTGAGCTACAGGTCTCTACAGGCGGCGTTGAAGAGGAAGTGGGATTTGACTGAGGAGTCAGGGTATTCCATGGGTTAGGGCATCATGGCTGAAGGCACAACCCCGATGGTAATGCGAAGGGTCTGCAACGTGCGTCAAGCAATATATAAATGCAGGTTGTTGTAGCTGAATGGCGTTATAATGGATTTTGAAAGATGTGATCCTCTGAATATAATAGTGCCTAAAGCCAACAAAAAATGCTCCAGTGGGAGAGCTACCACTAATGTAGATTAATAGAACTAAATGGCCTTCTTCTGCGCAAAAAAACATTATTTAGGGCTGATTTCAATTTTTAACACTGGATGAAATTGGAAACTAACAAATGTTACAGGATGACTAAAGGTAGTCATTATCTCCAACAAACAGATTCCAAGCAACTGAATGTCACTGGACAAGTGGTTTGAAGTGAATAATTTATTAATGTTATTATTACCTGGCTTTGATTCCCAGCAGGGTGAAACCTTGGGCAAGTTTCCTTACTCCACATGCCTGATAATAATCCCTCAAGAAAATAAAACAATTTTGCACTCTTGTTTTATTTAATTAGAACTGTGACTGATTAATAACATCTTAGTCCCACACTGATCTGACTATTTTTGTTTCACTGGAGTCACTGTTGCTACAGAAAACTCAAAGAAGGGTCTAAGCTGCTCCCCTAAACCTACTGTACGTGCTGATTCTTAGCAGCAATCAACCATATCCTTCCTAACACATCAGTGTGATTCATAAACAGTCCTTCTGCTCTTCCTGATTCTCCATGATTCCCAGCATTCCTGATGATCACTAATCTCCCCTTTTTCCCATGACATCCCTTTTTAGCAGTGCTTTCATCTCTCTTTCCCTCTCAACGTGTGGTCTAATTTGAGCTATTTCATAACGTGATTCCTTGATAAAGAATCTAAATTACACAATTTTGGTCCTTCGGATGAAACGTTAAACCTATCTTATCTTCCTGTTTAGGTGGAAGTTAAATATCCCACAGCACTATTGAAAAAGAGAAGAGAATTGTTTCTGGTATCATGACTAACAATCACCCAGATAAGATTTGGATATTCACTTCATGAATATGGTTGATATTGGTTGTCTTATTCAATTACAAGTGCACAGTCACTACATTTTCTAGTAAATCCCACGTGAAGCACTTTGAAAGTTTGGACAATGTGGTGAAGCACTACATCAAATTCAAGGATTATTATTATGATTAAATAGGAACTCCTTCCTGTAACCAGAAGTACATCACACTAACCCGTGGGAACTTAGCTCCGGTGAAATCTACTTCTGAATGGAATTCCCATGGGTCAATGGCAATTCTAACAGATTCCTTATTAAGAAATCATGTTAAGAAATATCGCAATTTAGACTTCACCATTTCCTGTACCATAATTGTATGACAGTCCCATGCAGTCTATGTGCACGCATACAAAATGAAACCACAATTTTCATAGCCATTCCCAAACTCAGTTGTTGGAAACAAATAGTCCTTGACAATGTAGGATTACTGCTCAAGAGATCAAATGGTCATTACATTTTGAAATACACTGGTTTAAGAAGCACTAGGCTGCTTGTAAAAGGACATGAAATAGGGTGTTTAATAAACTAAGCATTGCTTAGAATGTCTGATTCTTCTCCAGTGACCTATAAACTGTTCGGTGTTATGACACAGTTCCATTGTTCCTATAACCTAATATTGTTTCCCTCCCTACTTCCCTCTTGAATCATTTAACGCTGCTCACCACATTTTAGATGGAAGCGGGGCTCAGCAGTTAGTGCCACGTGTGACATGAACATGAGCAGTGACATGAACCAGTAGGGTCTAAATTCACATTCGGCACGATTTAAATAATAATAATAATCTTTGCATTTAATATACAGTGCATTTGTTATCACTTCATCAAGGCATCTCAAAGTGCTTCATAGGATATACTATAAAGTGGATTGACTGTGCATTTTGTGAGCGATTGTGGGATTCACAAAAAAAAACTGGTTTGGGTAGTGGGGGATGGGGGAGGATGGCATGTGAATTAGGGAGATAGATTATTTGAAAATGGGACTGGCCACATTAATTGTCATGCTTTCTTCCAGTTCTGCGCATTCTTATGATTTAGGGATCATCACTGTTCATAATTCCTATCAATGTTCCCATGTTTTTCTCTCCACTCTGTGTTAATTCTCCCTGCTACTTCCTTTCACCTCCCAGAGACGAATAGTGTCACAATAACAAAGTGAAGCCTCCTCCCAAACACTCTGGAACCCTGGAGGTAGCCTGATAAGAATTGCTTCTCAATCGTGGCACTTTGTGTATTTTTATTCTGTTCCAGACTTGAAAGGTATGCCTCCCTTATTAAGAATATCCCACGGATGTTTATTACACAGATAATCAGCAAGGACATCAAAGATACTCAGTGCGGTGTAAAAATAACCCTGAAGCAGTAAACCAGGAAGAAATCAGGAAGGAATCAGTTCTTACCCTCCTCTTCCTCTTCAACATCACTCACAGTCTTATCTTCATCAAAGCCAGAGCTGGTGGAGCTCTCAGAGCTTGTGACACTTGCCAGCCTTTGCTTTTTACTCTCTGTTTGTTCTATGTGAGTCTTCTCTCCATTTTGATCTGGCTGCAGAGTTTTCTCCTTCACAGAAATGACACATGAAAAAAAACTTTGAAGCGGCATTGGATATATTTGTGAAACAAGCAGGAGTTTTTTTTGTTAAGCTCTATGCTTCACGTTTGTCGTGCTTTATTAATTCTCCCCACTTCGTCCCTGTAGCAGCTCACTTTTCCAGCCAGGCAAGCAAACATAAAGAGACCTGCTAACTTCTGCCTGCATCAAGTCTAATGAAAAGAAAAGACCTGCTTATTAAAAATCCCAGTTGTCACAATTATTAAAGCCAGTGGAGTAGAATCATAGAATGTTGCAGCGCAGAAACAGACCGTTTGGCCTATTAAACTTATGTTACTTTTTGTCCACAAGAACCTAGTCTAATCCCACTCCTCAACCCTGGCCTCGCCTCCTCTCTCTCCATCTTTAATGATTCCCAGTTAGCTGTGCAAAGCGCTTTGAAATGTCCTCCCAGCATGATGGGTGCTATATAAATATAAATTGTTGCTATTTCACCCCCTTACAACCGTGTCCATTATAACAGCCACAACAGCAACTTGCATTTATATATGCCCTTCACTCAGAGTAGCATCCCAGAGCACTTAACACTCGATTGTTTTTAAAAATGTGAAGCCTTTATAATTTTATGAACAGCCATTTAGCAATCGCACTGTACTTATGTTGCTCTCAATTCACTTGCTGGTGTGACTCAGTCGTTCCTTTTTTAAATCAATTTTTAGTCTTTGAACCAGCTGGTTAAGAGACAGCTGGAGATATGGAGTTAGCATGGAACCTCCCCTTGTGGTAACATAATGAGTGGGATATAATGAAGTCTAACTCCCCTCCATCATCTGAATGGAGTGGAAACTGATTCATTAACCTATTATTTATAGAAATGAATGGGAGTTATTTTCTTAGTTGCATTTTCTTTTGGGTTCGCATGCAGGAAGCATCTGGTCATGCCAGCCAACTTTTAAAAGAGCCACAAGATGTGCAGTTACCTTGTGCAGTACAAAGTTATTTCTCTTGCTCTTGAGGTAGTTGGAGAGATTCCCATATTTACAGTATTCGACAATTACCAGTAGAGGCCCTGTAGATTGCAGAAGAATACATACAACTGTTAAATAGCCTGATAAATAATACTAATACTGGTATTTGATATAGCCCTTACAATGTCAAAACATCTCATAGCAAATCATATGTAACTGCTGTAAAATGATGTGACATTGAATAGGGAGGTGAACACAACATTCAATTTGCCCACAGCAATGTCCCACAAATAGCTAAGAAGTGAATAACCAATATTTCTGAGGATTGTTGGCCAGGACACCATATAATCTCCCTACACTTTTCAAATAGTATTATGTTTTTTTTTATCAGGTGAGACCTCGGGTTTAAGGAGAGCGATTCCCCAGTACTACAGCAGAGTGTTAGCCTAGACTATGTGAGTTTAAAGTCCTAACATAGAGGTTTAACCCACAAACTTCTGACCCAGAGACAAACTAATCTTGAGTATTCATAAAAAAAAGTATCTTGATTGTTATAGTATTCTCTTGAAATCTTACCATGTTAGTGGCTGACCAGGTAAATGACATTCATGATGTTTCTGAGGCTTGGTTGTTGAAACAGAAAGTTTCTATGTCATTTCAGCTCCCAGCATCAATGCCACTCAGTGGAAGAACAGCAAATGCTGGAGATTTAAAACTGATGGAACATCTGTCTAAGGGCCAATATCAGAAATACTACAGCCTTTGTTCTTCATATAGGAAGTGTTTAGCTCTTGCCAGTCTGTGCCTAATACTCTCTAAGAATTAGGCAAGCAAGATGCACCCCACCAGGGAGAGAGTGTGCATTCCATTCCAATACACAGGAATTTCCTGTGTGGGTGAGATGCATGATTGGATTGGATACTCTTGAGCAGACACCCGGGTGACCAAAAAAACCCACTCTATCCTTCCTCCCAATTCAAGAGGCTACTGCTTAAGCAGCAAGCTTTTGTTACAACTATTTTCCGTTGACAAACAACTGTCCTTTCTTCTTCTTATAAACATTTTACATCGTGAAAGATTGAAATCCAAGTGGTTTACCTATCACCTACCTCCATGCCTGGTGCACGCTCCCAACAGATTCACCACATTCAAGTGGTTTCCAATGTGGATCAAGATCTTCAATTCTGACATTAATGCTTTATATTCACTGTCTATGGCCCCCTCTGGCAAGAAAATAACATTAGACATCATAAAAGATCTTGAACAAGAACTTTCAACATCCTCTCCATAAATTTAAGAAAAAGTAAAATAATTAGATTTGCCTTTTGCAATACAATACAAAATTACATTTGTATAGCGCCTTTCACATCAGGAGGACATCCCAAGGTGCTGGATCCGAGCAGGAGGATTGGGATCAGGGAGGGTAGGATGGTGGCCAAAGGCGCGGTCGAAGAGGAAGGTCTTGAGACGTGCCTTGAAGGAGGTAAGGGAGGGAGCAAGGTGACAGGAATATGGGATGGAATTCCAAAGGCTGGGGGCAGAGAGGCTGAAGGCCCAATCAATGATGGTGGGGCGGGCCGAGCTGGTCGGGGAGCGTGGAGCAGGTCAGAGCCTGTTGAGTGGAGGGAGCGGACAGACTGATAAGGAAAAGGTTATTCTTTTAATAACCAGGAAATAAAGTTCAATGTTGTAATCATTATCAAAGTCTCTCAAATTGCACTGCATTTCTGCTTGAAAGCTTTATGATAACCAATATTTTAAACCAAAGTTCCAGCCATAAATCCAGTGCTGAAACACTTGTCAATTCTTAGAATGTCCTGCTCTTTAGATGATGAAATACATAATTTTTTGGGAAGCAGATAAAGAATGATTTTTACTTCCATTTCAATAAGGGGTAGAAAGGTTTAGGAAATGAGCACCATCTCATAATGAATTAATTTAATTATGTCAAAATACTGTTACAACTGACAATATCCTCCAAACATTAGGGGTAAGTAAAATGATCTGAATTTCATTCAAACTAAGAGTAACGTATTTCAAAATGTGCAAAGTTCATGCTTTGCTAAGATAGTAATTGACGTCCTCCCGACATGAAAGGCATTATACAAATGTAATTTTGTTGTTGATGTTGTTGTAATGATGCTAATCCTTGTATTTGATGTAGGCCCTTTCATAGGAACATAGGAATTGCTGGATGAAAAAAGACCAAGGTCCATCCAGTTCACATTTTACAATCCTGGCAGTTGCATGCTACATAATGGAGATCTTGATAGTAATTAATGCTGTAAAATTTATTTAATGTTGAGAGGACTTCCCAAACTGCTTTGCTGGATTTACAAAAGTGTAGTGACTGTGTATTTTGTAGGAAACAAAATTGCTACATTGTTACATGGTTGCAGTTGCTCGACAACGCTTGGTAATCTGTAGATGTTAGATACCTTTCAGCATTTTAACGGCAACAGTTTTGCACATGGCCGATTTGTTGATACCAAAAGCTGAAGCTTCCACCACCTTCCCGAATGCGCCACGACCAAGAGCTTTACCTGTAGAACCAACAAATGAGTGAACTAAAATATAATAATAATAATCTTTACATTTGATATAGCGTCCGTCTTTCACGCTGTAGTAACCACATTTTGTATATGTGTAGGCAGGGACGCATTGAATTTTGTTTGGTTTAGATAGTCTTCAGCATGGGCGTCTGATACTTTTCGCATGTGTCAGACCAGCTGACCAAAAAAAAATGTTGATGTAAGATTGTTGGGCAGATTGTAACTTGTATGACCTGTTCGAACAGTTCATGCTGAGTAATGGTATGTTATAACAAATGGGCTGCACCTATTCTGTGACCCTTAAGACAATGATAACATATTTATGTCCATTTCTAGGTACTATCAGTAAGCTTTTAAAGGTTGTTAAATCTCCTGCTGCTGAAAATCAAATGATGGTCATGGTCAAGCTCTAGCCTCTGAATAACAGTATCATTGATCAACTTCCAACATTTAGAGTTTAGGCCCAGCCAATTTAGATATTGGCTCAAAAGTACAGTATTTCCCAGTTCATCCCTTCATTGCAGTGATTTCAGGGAAGAATTTGACTGATATCCAATGTTTTGATGAGTTGATTATATTTACAGTACTCTTCCCGATAAAAGGGAGAGGATTTCAATAAAAATATGATGTCAGCCTGGTATCTGACACACATTGTTTGGAATTCCAGTAGAATTAACTACACCCTGTTCACTCCCACTCTGTTGAATAACAGACTAAACTTGATATTCATTCCTAGCGCAGATAATTTCTACTTGTTGGGAAGTTCACTGATTTGCAAAGGAATTTAAAGACATCTCAATTCAAGCATAATATTTACTGTGAAATTCTTTGTGTATTTATCAGGATTGAGTTGTACTTAAGTTCTGCCTTAAATACATTTCAACAAGTCAGTGAATACGAAGTGAATACCAAGTTTTGACTGACAATACAAAGTTTTTTCACCTCTTTATTGTATGGCTGCATATTCAATACTTTGGGATGTCCTCCCAATGTGAAATATACTATATAAATGCAAATTGTTGTTGTTGAATACTCATAAACACCTACAGTTACAGAGATTTATTTATTACATTATGGAATGCGGGACCCTGAGAGCTCTAGAGGCAGAATGTGAGGCTCCTATTTGTAGACATAAGATATTCGAGCTGAAATCTCTCTCATGTTCAAGGAATCAACTTCTCATCCTCCAACTTGAAGAAGGAAGGCTAGGAGAAGCTAACACAGTGAAGTACAGCAGTAAGAGCTAAAATCTTTGGATCAGGACATCTGTTAATTCCATAATCCAATTTTCAATTGTGTGATGAAAAGTTTCCTATATTAACAAGGAAGGTCTAGCATGTGTTAATAATAATAATAATAATAATCCTTGCATTTGATATAGCATTTTTCACGTCTTATCGACGTCTCAAAGCGCTTCACAGAATATACTGTAAAGTGAATTAACTGTATATTTGTGGGAGAAACGCGGCAGCCAATTACGCACAGTAGTGTCCCACAGTCTTGGATTGAAAATGACCAATTGTTTTTTTTTGGAGGGATTATTATTAGGCGTGTGGAGTAAGGAAACTTGCCCAAGGTTTCGCCCTGCCTGGAATTGAACCCAGGTGTCTCACTTGCAAAGCAAGTGCTCTAACCTCTGAGCTACAGGCTTAGACCCCTTCCCCCAATGCCCACCCCCCACCCCCCACAACCCACCCACCACCACCATGATCATGACTCCTGTCCATTCCATTCTGACTGAACCATGGCATTGGGAAACTAATAGGGAAAATGTGCAGTGGAAAAATATTGAGAGAACGCAATGGAATATTTGTCTAAATATGCAGGTTTTCATTGCATTGAACACTGTGATGTATTCTTTTTAACTAATAAATGCCATTTATTTTTTTCCGCTGCTTGTCCAGCTAGTACCACCCTATCCATTAGGGCCTTGGCCTGCAGGGTTAATAGGAGCCAAGTGAGAAGAATCCCTACCCACAAGTGACTGGTCTGCTCCTTCCCAGTATTGCCAACAAGCCTGATCGATCATCACAGTGCCAAGGAGTATCATGGTACTGAACAGTAATTATTTGATGCATTTTTATATTCAGTTTCTCAAGTAGCTCAATTGGTTTAGCACTGAATTTAAAAAACATCTTATCGATTTGATATAGCGCCTTTCAGGTCGGATGATGTCTCAAAGCGCTTCATAAAATATACTGTAAAGTGTGTTGGCTTTGTATTTTGTATGTAAATCCAGCAGGCAATTTGTAAACAGCAGCATCCCACAAATAGCTAAGAAGTGAAGGACCAGTTTATTTGGGGGATTGTTGGCCAAAAACACTTGGAGAAACTCCCTCCTGTTTTTTGAATAGTGCCATGGGACCCTTACCATCCATCTCAACAGGGAGACGGAACCTTGGTTTAACATCTTATCTGAAGGAAGGCAACTTTGGCAAAGCAGCACAACCCCAGCACTGCACTGGAGTGTCAGTGAATTCATGCTACTGATCCAGAACCCATGACTTTCTGACTCAGAGAGAAGATCTCCGAATCAGAGGAGACTCAGAGAGTCTCTGAGTTGCCACCTGAGCCAGGCTGACACCACTTGAAAGTGCAATAAAAAATACACAGTACATTATTAAGAGAATATGTGAGCATATATATACTAAACATACACCCATCACAACAATGCTTTCCATTGTACAGAGGTACAGTAGTTTCAATGGTCATACCTAGCTTCAGTCTGTCCCGGGGAAATTCCCATTTGCTGGCATCATAAGGAAGATATTCACATTGTTCAACAAGAGGCACTTCATCCGGATCCATTATGATTGACAGATAGTCATTTTTTATCTCAGCAGAGCTAGGCTGGAAAGGCAAAACATGAGAAAACATTTGCGTGCAGAGTGCACCTTCCCATTTATCCTGTAGACATTCAATCCCTTTATGCCAGCATCCATCAGCATAGTTAGCAGATGGGAAAATAAATATTTGTATCATTAAGCACTTCCACTAGAGCAGCCTTCAAGGGTCAATAAATTCCAACAAAACCACTAGTGTCATCCATCCAAACCTAACATGGCATCTTCCATGGGATTAATTAGCAGCAAGTTACTTAACCGGTCAGATTGTCACAATTCAGCAGCAGACAAAGCCAAAATGAACATCCAGTGTTAAGGTTTATTTAACAAGAACAATTGTTTGTTTGGATATATTCTGTGCGAATGTGAAGTTCAAAGGGTTTCACCCAGATACACAACCCTATTTCTCTACACCTTTTCTGAACCCTACATACATGTTCTCCTCAGGGAACGAGAACTCCACAAAAGAATTGAGTAAAATATGCATTTTTTAAAACCACTTTAGTTCAACAAAGTACTGAATGGGAGCTGCAAATTTGCGAGGCAAGATTTCTTTTTTAGTCTGCATTTTTTAAAGTTCATTTCAATTATTAGCGTTCTGTTTTACACCTTATATGTTGTAGACTTAAACTGTAAAATCATTCTTACTGGTGGGAGCTCCACCCCATCCCCCTATTAAACCGTTCTGCAAGGTTTTCACGCTGAGATAATCTCTTATAACAGAATATTCACTTATTGGTTATTCACTCACAGGACAGTTAGCTATTCAACTAACTGGGGATGAAAACAAAGGAAGTTATTCAAATATGGAATGTTTGACACAAATAATTATTGAGGCTGAGACCATGATGATATTTGGCTAAACAATGAAAGAGGAGGAATATAAAATAAAATCCACGAAAGAACAGGCAAGGGGTATAATGAAGGAGTGAATATCACAACAGACTTGCTGGGTCTTGCCTTCTCCAATGCTATAATAATTTCTATGATTCTATGAATCTAATGTATATTTAGCAGACATTGCTTGAATCCACTCATCTCGTCTGCATGTTTTAGCTATTGTGAAATCAGTCAGTTACAATGAGGTGGCAGTTTATTTTTTAAGTAATTCACTGTTTGCCAATATTTTCCTGGAACACATCAATCGTTGAAAATCTTAGATCATCTTTCACCCCCTTATTGTGAATGGAATGTTACTATTCTGGATTTTTTTTTTGATCAGCCGGGTGTCTGACACACGAATAAATGCATCACCATGCTTAAGAGTATCAGAACCAGACTACTGAAAGTAATTTCTGTTTGACTGGTATGAAGTGTGTGCTCTCTCCCGAGAGAAATGCATCCTGCTTTCATATATTTTTTTGAGGGGGCAACTTGATGTCTGACACATGTTGAAACCCAACACTATGCTTAAGAGTTTCCAAACCAGACTGAGATTCCACATATGCCACCTACAAATGGAAACTCTCTTGACTGGCATAGAGTGTGCACTCTCGTCAAGGGACACATCCTGCAGATATAATTCTGGAGAGTAAAAAGGTGTGGGTTGGCATTTATATACAGATTGGCAAGAGCCAAGTTTTGAGATTCTAGTGTGTACATTTGGCTACTACTGGTGTTTGACCATCTAAAACCGATTGGATTCCCATTGCGTGTCCACCTAGGACTACCCTGCTTGATTTTCAAGTAAGCAGGAGCTAAATTGGAAGAATCCTCAGTGACTTGTCTGCTCCTATTTTTACTCTTAATTCCATAGTCCTTGGTTTTAGAGATCCTATTTTGGTAACTAGTTCTTACCTTTTTGAGCTTACGAATGAGAAGAGTCAGAAGGAGCCAGAAGAGTGCAGCAGCTAGACATGTACATGTCAGAGTTATCAGTTCCAGGTTTGATTTCTCAGTTGATCCTGTGAACATTCAGTAACAGAAACAAAGGATCTTTTGGAAATATTTTCAAAACAGGGATTATTTTTCTGTGAAAACTGTCACAGTATCTGCTTCTTCAACAGTGTTGTGTGTATCCAACTCTCTGACTTGAAAACGCTGCAACCTTACACATGTGTGATGATTTTATTCTTTTTTCCTGTCTGATGTTTGGGGGAATATACACTGGGATTTTTCAGTGATCTTTCATTTGTTTCAAAAAAGACAATGGGGCCAAAATTGTATATATTCTAAAACACATTCTGTACCTCAATTAAGAAACAATGCTAAAAGGTGTTTGGAAATATTACTCTGCCCTATCTTCTAATGAATGGTAGTACCCAAACATGGTTGATAATAATGCGAGCAGCCATTTTGGTTTCCTGCTTAGTAAGGCCCTTCTTTTGGAAGAGTAGGGACTGTCAAATGCTGCTTTACATATATTGATTTAATTAGGTCATTGTCCTGCAAAGTAGTATTCAACAATCACAATCAAAATTTTAATAACGGCCACTACAAAACATAAAGAACTGGCAATATCTGGAGTTCTCAGATTTCGTAATGGTTGTATTCTGTAGGCCATGTAGGAGTTACTGATGTTTCTAGACCCTTCTGAAATCATGTTTGAAATACAAACTTAACAATTTCATATAGACAATTTTTGAATATCCCTGTATAAATTTTAAACTTTTTGATTCATTGATCTATTTGGTTGAAGATCATGTCCAAACTCTTGAAATGGCATACGGTACTACAATACAGCAACAAAATCCCAAACACAGACACTGGGGTAGGAATTCCACCGAGGTCTAGATTTACTCTATTTTCTGAGCATTATCAGAACGTGTTTTGCCCACAAGATACACAGTCAATTCACCTTACAGTACATTCCATGAAGCGCGTTGAGACGTCTCAAAGATGTGATAAGGCGCTATATCATATGAAAGGATTATTATTATTATAACATCCAATATTTGGCAAATTGATGAATTCAGTGTCAACTTTGTCGTTTCTCTGTATTTCTTAGAATACTGACTTCAAAATTAAGACTGTATTTAACAATTTTCAAAGTTCTAGAAGCTCTGAGCTACAAAGAATATTCAGTAAATCGAGATCCAGGTGGAATTTTCCCTCCATTTTGGGCCTGTTTACATGAATCCAATAATACTGATCTCATTGTTGGATGGTTTGAATTTATACATCAGTATGCTTGTATGAGGACAACATGTCTGATAAATGACAATTGCTACCAAATGTTTGATTAACCACTGGTTTTAATGATTTGTCAACACTGTTGTTGAAAAAGTAGAACCAGGCGTTTTCTGTCAATTCATCAGTTACAGAATACGTAAGAGGTTATCTTATGGCTAAAGTTCAATATAGTGTTTTAATACCACCATATGTTATCTGCAAGATACCTCGGACTGTGATGTAAGCAGAAGTCTCCACAAAGCCTTTCCTGTTTGAGGCTTGGCACTGATAGAGCCCTTCATCCTCCTCTTTGACTCTTTCAATAATTAGCATTCTGCTTCCTGGTCCCAGGATAATACCTTCGAATGAGACATGTGGCAGTGAGTTAGACCTACATATTTTACAGTGTTACAGTGCTATCTTGTTTACAGTTAGTTCCTATTTACTTAGATCTATCAGCTAAGTAGGCAGACAACAATCCAATACTATGACATCCTGCATGATATAGATATACTGTTATAAAAACATTCTCCTCATGGGAAAAAGACAATTTCCTATTTTGTCTAGTTATTAATGAGATTACCCAAGTCAGACAAGAGGGTATAAGAATGATCTGGAATGACACTTGATGCTGTAACAGGAGAACAGTGGGGTGATATTTTGGAAGGATGAGAGCAAATGGACTAAAGGGCCTTCTTCACCAGAACGTCTCTTGTGATCTTGTGACTTACTCACTGATGATCATGAAAACAAAATAAAAGAAGACTTCGAAGGATTTGTGTTTTCTGCAGATGTCGCACCTGATTCTACATTCAAGTATTGCTCGTTCTTGTACCAGGTGATCTGAGGTGCCGGTCTTCCCCCCACCTGACACTCCAGGGTAATCGAGCTACTGATGTTCACCTCCTGTTTGCTCAAGTTCCGCAGCAAGAATGGAGCTTCTTGTGCTGAAATGGAAGGAATCACAGACTTGAGTTAGAGAAAAATAGTTACAAAATATACTGGAGAGGGGAAAAGGTGGCAAAATGCGTTATGTGGTTATCACATTGACAGAAATTTACTGTTAAAATGTGTCAGTAAAGCAAAACTGTGACTTTGAGAGTGGACATTTCCCCTTGCCGTCATCTCCCCACCCCACTCCACACCACCCAAAAAAAACAAGGACATGACCCTGCCTTAACATTCTTTCTTAAATCGTTTTCTAATAAGTAAAATAAGTAATAAAAATAATCCATACATTAGGTTCAGCACCCTTCACATTAGGAGGTTCTTCCAAAGCACTTCACAGGATATACACTAAAGTGGTGTTACTGTGTGTTGTGTCGTTAGATTCTGCATAATACACTGCACTCTCCTTTTGAGCCATGAGTCATCTTGATACCAGTGTTCTCCAGTAACTGGAATTTCAGCTTGTGAATTTATTTACATCGCATTTTACACTACGTAATGCCAACTCACTAGATTTCTCAGAATGCCTGACTGCCAAGAATCACATTACAATGAGGGTCAGTGAGAGTCTTCTCACTCAAGTGTGCAAGTAATGCTTTAAATTCGTTACTCATCACATACTCATATTTCAGAGGTAATATTTGGATTTCTAAGCAGGTGTTAAAGTCTCAGAGCTAAAGGTGGCCAGAGGTACTGTCGCGTTGACAAGGACACGGCCTTGGGTGAGCTCCTGCTTGAGATGTGCACTTGACTGGGAGAATGAAGATTCAAGTGAGTGCTTAACCAATGCAAGTGGGTGAAGTGTTAGTAACAAAGGATCCGATATGGCCAGGGGTCAGATAGGAAAAATATCTCTACATATCAATGCTTAACAAATAGATCAGAACTGAATGTAGACAATGAATTACTATGGTGAACCTTATTAGTGACAAAGGATATGATATTTCACTGCAGCCTATGGCGCAGTCTTTTTAAACATAGTAATAATCATTTTGTTTCGAATAGAGTTTCTCCCAGTGTCCTTGCGAACAAAACCCTACACAAAATTGGTCATTAACTTCATAGCTGTTTGTGAGACATTGCTGTCCACAAATTGGCTGCTGAGTTTGCCTACAAATATACAATTGCTAACTTCACAGTAAATCCTGTGAAGTGATTTGAAAAGTCTCAACAACATGATGCAGCGCAATATCAAATGCATGGACTATTATCCTACATGGACCACTATTGAATGATGACAGCTGATTTCAAAGGGACTAATGATAGCACAACGACACACAGCATTAAATAGTGCCAATAGAAAGTCATATCTGGCAGATCCAGAAAACCAAAGCACAGTAAAATGAAGAGTATATTACAGGTCCCAGGACACTTGTACGACGCAGTTCTACTTTTTGTCAATTTCCTTTCTGTATGGAAGTGAAATGTAGTAACTCCCTTGAGTAAATTTACCCAGTTAGCGACAGTAGCAGGAGGCATCAAACGTTATGGAAGAGATAAAAAGTGTTTTTGTCTCAAACTGAAGTGACACAATTCAGCAACAATAGATTCCCCGGTGCAATATTTATTTTCTCAAGGTGAGAAAATATAGTACATGAATACTGTATTTACTTCAATTATTTGCACCAGTAAAAAAAGTATTTACCTGCAAATGATTGTTGAATACTAACTCATGCAATTCAATACTGATTATATCTGTAGGATTTTTATTGCCATTCACTATTGTAAAATATGAGTAACGACCTAAGCATAAGAACATGAGAATCTTCAGCCCTAAAGAGATGCTGATTGATGGGCTGTTCATTTGCAGCATTTTCTGTTTTGAATATTAAACATGCAGTAAATATTGGCTGGTATATTCCATTGCTTTAGGTGATACAACTGTACTGCTAATACAATTAAACACTTTTCCATCCTTAGTCCAGAACATTTTACAATTACTCTGATTTGTTCTTAAATGATTAGATTTTCTGTGAAACTGGTATCGAGGGGGGAAGCTCCATTGTTTACTTTCTACAAACAACAAAAGCTATTCCCATGTGAACGATAAGTTCATTTTCAGGACATTGTGCCACTTTTTGAAGGAGGAATTCCGCTCAGAAGTTCACAAGCACGAGAAACTGTTTGGATTTTGTCAGTCTGGTTCCTCGTCTCTTTCTCTGCCTCTCTCTCTCTCTCTCTCTCTGTCTTTCTCCAGCAGCTAGTTTTTTTATGGAAAGTGCCTCGCTACGTGCCAGTGAAGGATTTCATTTCAAAGCTGCAAAAGTTTTTTTTCCCCTCACTTTCACACTGCCAATCAGAATCAGGCAAGAAGAGAAGGTATTGGGGACATGATTTCCAGCACACAATGTAAAAGGTGCCTACAATTTGAATTCTGACCAATACATCATTAGACATTGTCAATTTGTTGTCCTACAAAATTGCTTATTTGCTCCAAGGCTGTTTGTGGGATTTTACTGTGCCCAAAACTGGAAAAAAAAATACACAGGCATTACACTTCACAACCAATTCTATGAAGTGCTTTGAGACATCCTCCCAATGTGAAAGATGTCATGCCAAGTGCACTTTTGACCCATGGGGAGGTGTAAAGAAGTGGCCCGTCAAACACTCGCACCAGGCCAGGCAATGGAGCCCTGTAGCTCAGTGGTTAGAGCACTCGCCTTGCAAGCGAGATACCTGGGTTCAATTCCAGACAGGGTGAAACCTTGGGCAAGTTTGCTTACTCCACATGCCTAATAATAATCCCTCAAAACAAAAAACAATAAATTGGTCATTTTCAATCCACGACTGTCTGTGGGACACTGCTGTGCGCAATTGGCTGCCGCGTTTCGCCCACAAATGTACGGTCAATTCACTTTACAGCATATTCTGTGAAGCGCTTTGAGACGTCGAGAAGTCTTGAAAAGCGTTATATCAAATGCAAGGATTATTATTATTTATTATAAGTCTGAGCCAAATCAATACCTGGTTTCAGTAGCTATCAAGCTACAGTACTCATGGCACGACCTTAAATAAATAAAGATGAATAAAGAAAAATATATTGGCAACCACAGCTATGAGCTCAAAGTCCTGATATAGTGTTTGACCCACAACCATGACACAGAAGTGAGAGTGTTACCAAGTGACACAATGTGAAATCTGTCTGCATTTGATGCTGGTAAAAGCACCTTGGGACAAAAAGTTCTTCCTGTCCCATGTATGTCTAACCAAAGAGAATATGGCTCTGAAGTGATCTCAGGTTAGCATCTAGGTTACATGAGTGAATGGGGCTCCTGCAGGAGACACACTTCACATCCCAAGGGGTTTTGTTCTGCTGTTGAGACTATTCACACTGCAGTTTTCCTATCAAATGCTTTTCAACTCATTTGAAGCTGAAATTGCAGAAAAGCTTCTGAGTTTGCAGAGAGGGAAAAGGTTGAATAAAGAGGAATTGCTGAGATTGAGGCAGTGCTGGGTCTCTGGACTATAGCTCCCCCATACTATTAGAATCAGTAATGTTTCAGTGCAGCTCTCAGTGATGTTACCAACACTCACCATTTGTACAAAAAGATTGGACTAGGCAGCAGTCAAGGGTGAGTTTAAAAACTGATCCTAATTCTCTGCAACTTTCGTTTTGTGACAGGCACCGATAATGGCATGCACATTTCAATTAGTAAACAGCTATTTTGAAAACTGTGTGGCCAACCTGAAATTCTAATGGTCTTAGCATTAATATCATTGTCTTAAAATGTAAGATTTTGTAGAGTTTTAGAATATCTTAAATCCAGTCTTGATTTGTGGGTCAATTTCGATTGTCTTATAATAAGAATTGCAGAAAACTGGATTAAGATTAAATTTAAAGAATCGTCTAAAGTTTTGCACGATCTTGAATTTTAATGCCGTAATGTCTTAATGTTAAGACAATGAAAAATTTCGAGCCCCACTTGGGGTTGATATTTGACTGATCTGTGATGGTCCCGCTCAGATAGCTTGCCAGCACCCACGGTCAAGGAAATCACAAAAATAGTGGCAACTGAGGTTAGTTAATGAAGATATCCAGTACATGTGAAAGTGTACCCCCATAGGCAGAAAATAGGAATTACAAGGAAAAATTAAAAAATATATAACATGCATCTGAAAGATTACAACATGCATTCCTCACCTGTGCTGTTCAAAAATAATAACGATAAAAAAAATCAAAGGCAACAATTTGCACCTTAGATGTCACAAATAATTTAGAGATATGTTGATTTTGCATTGGTCCAATTGATTGTTATGTTCAGCAAGAACTTGCATTGATATAGCACCTTTCATGATCATAGGGGGATGTCTCCAAGTGCTTTAAAGAGATAGAGAAGGAGCCAAACAAAGTGAGAGTTGGGGGTGGGGTTGAAGCAATGTTTGTAATCTTACACTTCATTGCTTGTTTCACTGGAGTATGCTCATACTCTAAGAAAACTCTAAGAACAACTATTTGCATTTACGTAGCGCCCATCACACAGGGTAGCATCCCAGAGCACTTTTTCACCTTTTCAAACATCATCTATTTGGGTTTGTTACTTTTTTAAAAAGCTTAACTTGGACCCTTTAAAACTCCATTTTATTTACTCTCTTGCTGTGTTAATCACCCCTCCTCCTCAGCAATATCTGCCTTTGATACCTTACAAAGCAGAATGTGCATAATGCGGCTATTGTTCCATTTTCCATGAAGAGTTTACATAACCCATAACAAAAGAGAACATGTACCAAAATATTTACAAGTAGGTTATTGTACTGCACTGCCAATGTCTCGAGCCCCAGTGCTGATAAATACAACCCCATATCAATCCTCTAATCCACTTTTAATGTGAATCACTCAGTATAGATGAAAGCAGATTTTAATTTGCTACAGAACAAAGACTTGGGTCTGGATCAGCAAGTGTCCTTAGCCACTGAAACATCAGAAGAGTTGTACACAATCTTCTGTGAAGGGCAGACCAGTCACTGGGCCCAGGGAATCATCCCACTCAGCTCCTGTTAACTCGGCAAGCCAAAGTCCTACTCAGTAGGGTGATCCTAGCTGGACAACAAGTGGGAAATTTTGCCAAACAGTCATAATAATGGCAAGCTATGCGGTTTTAACTGGTTATACTCCAGCAGTACCCAAAACACACTTTGGAGTCCCCAAGCCTTGGCTCTTACCAATCTGCACCTAATAATATCAGGAATTAGGTAAACAGGATATGTCCCTCCAGGGAGAGAGTGCCCATTCCATTCCAACAATCTATCTCTGGGATTTCCATGTGTAGGTGGGATGCATGGAATTTTCAGCTTGGTTTGCTCTGGGACTCTACCCTCGTGAAGGGCGCTATATAACTGCAAGTTGATGGTGGTGGTGGTGGTTTGGATACTCTTAAACATGGTAATGGGTTTCCACATGTGTCAGATCCTCATTGACCAATGACCATCAACCAAAAAAAGTCTGAGGATCATATAATGTTACAGTAAAAACAATGAAAAATACAGTACAAAAGTAAGCCATTTTAGTCATCAAGTCTGCATTCGTGTTTTTCCATCTAATCTAAAAATATAAGAATTTGCTAGGTGAAGGACCAAGGTCCATCGAGTTCTCCTTCCACCATCCTGGCAGTTGCTTGACATGTTATGTCTGAAACTATATTCTGTATCCTGAGATATTTCTTTTAAGCAAAAGTCTATCTAATTTGTTCTTGAAACAAACAGCATTTTCTGCTCCACCGTCTCCCTAGGGAGTCTGTTCCATAAGTTTACTACTCGCTCAATGAAGTAGTGTTTCCGCAGATTTGTTCTGAATTTACCCCTCTTCAATTGCTGGCTGCGTCCTCTGGTTCTTCTGTTCAGTATAAGATAAATTATCTATCTACATTATCTATTCCCTTCAGAATCTTAAAGACCATAACACTATCTAACATTATTCTTCTGCTCGCTCCACAAATCCTTTAATATTTCGTAATAGTCTTACTATTGCGATTCATATCAAACCTCTTCATTTGATTTTACATCCCATTTATGATCAAAGGAACAACTCACATTGTCTGATGCTCACCTTCAACGTAGACATGTTTCTTCTGATGGACAATCTCCTGAGTGATAATGTTCCTGGCTGTACATTCATAGATTCCAGACTGATCCTGAGAGACATTCTTGATGGTAAAGTACAAAGCAATTGAATACAGTCCAGTCTTTACTTGATTTGGGCTGCTGAGCTGAAATGCAGTACGGTTGTCCTCACTCAGAAATCGGCAAGCAATTTTGGAGTATAAAAATTGATTTGCCCGGCAGAATAGGGTCAGGTCATCTCCTTCAGTGGGGACTACATCTTGTTCTGTGCCAACGTCAAATCCAAATTCATTGGGTATATCTACAAAGATTGAGAAGAAATGCAGAGTCAAGTAAACAAGTCTGTTTTGTTTGACATTAGTGTTATTGAATTAGGAATCAAAATGGATGGCTTGCTGAGTAGACCAGTTGGTGAGTGTCTTGTCTGGTACAATACTGAACAACACAGAGCAGAGAATTTCTAGGATTCATCCTTTGTCTGCTCTGAATTAATGATTTTTATTTGTCACCCAGTTCATTTTGGCTTCCCCAAACAAGCCGGTGTTATATCTTTCATGTTGTGAAAGTGGAAGCATTGCCTGGTGATTATGCCCCATTATAGTGTTGGTTGGAATTTTATGGAACCCAATTACCGTGTTTAATGGGGCTCCACATAATTTACACTAATGTCATTAGATGTCCAAATGCATGCCATCCCTTGGAATGGATTGTTTTAAATGCCCAAATCTTAATGATTAAAACATAGAAACAGAAGTTTTCAGCAGAACAGGACAATTTATATTGTTGTGTTCTGCTTCAAACTGCACTCAGAGTAAGTGGGCTGGTGCACTGAGATTCTGTCATTGGATCACAGGGGAGGGGAAATGTATAATGTGATAATATCACTGGTGATAATAGAACATGCCATATTTTCCCTTTATAATGGGAGAGTAAGAAAATAATTGCTACAGGAGAGTCCCATTGTAGCATGTAGTTGGGATCAGTAAAATCCTAAACATATCACAACAAACAGTGATTGCAAATCTGAGTTTCTGCATTTACTGTGTGAAGAAAAGATAGACAAATCCATCATCATTTGAAAATGCTGACCAATGCATGGAAATATTCAATCAACTGAGATCCTTTTCTGATATAAAAGGCGTAATACTAAATATAAGTATTATTATTATTATAAATTGTAGAACCAAGAAATTGAACCAACAAAGTTTACCCAATGCAAGCACACAATAATACAAGGCAAAATAAGGTAATTGTTTGCAGGTAGCGTGCAGACAAAATAAATTCCAAGTTCCCAGGATAATATAAGATAATAATCCTTTGCAACATTTCAAAACACTTCACAGAATATACTGCAAAGTGAATTGACCGTGGGCGAAACGTGGCAGCCAATTGCTCACAGCAGTGTCCCACAAACCGTCTTGGATTGAGTGACTGCATTTTTTTAAAGGGATTATTACCCCCAGAAAAACGATCCGACAATCGACTAATTCTACTTACTGCTACGTGAACAGAGGCATGTGGAATAAGGAAACTTGCCCAACGTTTTGCAATGCCCGGCGAGTGTTCTAACCACTTAGCTACAGGACTCCACATGTAGCAGATCTTTAACATGGTAAACTAACGCTGTAGAGTTTTATCCAAACTCATTCAATAAGATTCAGAATGAGGAATACCTCTTGTTTCTATGTTGCATTTTTCTTTGGAGGTGAAGTTCAGAAATCTAATCTAAGTCTTCGAAAGGTTGAATGAAATAATAATCCTTGCATCTGATATAATGACTTCCCCATCAGGAGATTGTCTCAAAGTTCTTCACAGGATGTACTGTAAAGTGTAGTAACTATGTAATTTTTAGATAGACGCCTACTGTTTTTTGCAATCTTCCTTCAAACTAACACACTTTGAAATATCAAGAACACCAAGCATAGTGATCAATGTGTGGAGCTACATATTGTATGTCTGGTTCATTCACCAATGTTGACTGTAAGATATGATTCACTGGTGCAAAAACAATAGCTTTACTGCTTTTTACAATCTTCCTCCAAACTAACACACTTTGAAATAATTTAAAGGGGATTTATTTACTTAAGTGATTTGAAACTTCCTCTGAAATAGCTCACAGGTTTCCTGATGGAAGATATTGTTTATCTTTGCCAAGCACCATCAGGAATCTCAAAACAAAATGCATTCAGTGACACTGGGAAATCTCTGAGATAAGGCAGCTCTGTTCCTGTCTCACCCGTGGTAATTACTAACACACCCTCAGTCATGCTGAGTGCCAGCAGAGAACCAGGGCTGTGAAATAGCAGCAGAGACCTGGCTCTGTGTGATGTGATTCTTACTGTGAGAACAAATGATACACTGCAGAGAATATCTCATACTTTAGTGACGAGATCTGTAACCTATTCTATATGTGAATAAGAAACAGTCAGTCGTTCCAATTGCCCGGCGGTTTGTGGGGTTATCTCTGCATTTTAACTTCAAAACATTCCAACCCACAGAATAATGGAACTCACACTATTTAAATGACTATTTTTTATACCAGATTGTAACTGTTCAATTGATTCAATACCAGATACTTATAATTATTTATTACAACGACAACAACAACACTTATATAGCGCCCTCCACGCAGGGTAGCATCTCAGAGCGCTTATTAGTTATCCAGTAGAAGCACTGACCCACAGAATGGATGGGTGGTGTTGTAAGAAGAAACCATTAAGTTCTTGCAAAACCCACCCAGTCATAGACATCACCCACGCCATTGTGTCCATCGAGTATTTGTTACAAATGTAATACATTCCATGTTCCACCGCAGTATTGAGGGATGTGGCGAAAGCGCAGGGCATTGAGATTGAAACTGCTTCAATCCTTCTGCCTTGCCCCCTCTTTGCCTACTTCAGTTCTCACCTCCAGGCTTTCCTCTTTGACCGTTCTTACGGTCACCTCCTTTTCTCCCCCACTCAACGACAAACTATGTCATTGTTAAGCTCCAAGATGCCAACCTGTGTGAAAGGCACTATATTAATGAAAATTATTGTTGTTGAAAGATCTGTCAGATCTGATAAACTGATAAAGCAGGCTCATTGGGCTGAATGGTCTGTTACTGTTCCTGTTTCCCTATGTCTAAATCATTTTACCTCATAGAGTAGGAAACACATTCTTTCATTTTTATGGCATCTTATTATTTGGCAGTGTCTCAAAACATTTTACAAAATTATAGTCAAGTGCTGTTGAATGAATGATTTTGTAGGCAAATGTGGTAGTCAAGCACAGATAGGCACGAAGTGAATAATTAAGTTATCTAGAAACATTAGTCTATGTGTTTGAGTACCAAACCACAGGTTTTCTGGTTCCATTAGTTTGTATGTTTCAGCATCAATGCATCATACCATGGTTACACACCTGGAACCATTATTTTGTGTGTTTTTGCACTGAAGTTCTCCAACATTAGGCCAGATCATGACACTGGGAGGAACTACCTTGTTGCCAAGGCATCTTTACTGTTTATCTTAAGGACAAACAGATGAGACCTCAGTTTAACATCTCATTTGAAGGACAGCAGTCAGGTAATGTTGCTCTACCTTCATATTAGACAAGAACATCAGCATTTAGCATGAGCTCAAGACCCAATGTGAGGCTTGAGATTCATAATAATCTGACCCAGAGATGAAAGTTCTACCAACTGAGCCAAATTGATGTTTCATCTTAGCAACATACATGCAGAGGTTTTGGAGCAGATCATGTGTGTACTCATTTAGCATGTGGAATGGGAATGTGATATAAAAGTTAAAGGAAAGTCAAAATGTGTATTTTGATGAAAGAAGAGGGAAAATTTAAATAGAAATAACAAAAAATGACTTCATTTTGAGAATATCTGATAATAATGTTACTTAGTCTTCTTCTACTATCTTTTTATGTTCCAGGGTAGATCTCTCTGTTATGCAGAAAAAACATGCTCCCTATTTCCCTTTACTAAAGAGTAATGTCTTTGGGTTGGGCGTACGGAGACATGTTGGTTTGAGATAAATGCAGAGGCAGTAACCTCCACTTATTGCACATTATACCACAAATCTGGAAATGAAAGCATGTAGTGCCAATTCAGCACGAGGTGAAGGACACAGAAAGCAAGCAGGACCCAGGTTAAATGCATCTTCAAATCAGCAAGTAGCAGATCTGCAATTTAACACAAGGTCACCACCAATGATAATATTTTAGTGATTAATTAAAAAGAAGGCCATGCTTAGCTTGCTTTAAAAATAATTATGTCAATAGTGAATACATGCTGATAATATGTGATGATAATAAGATAATAATCTTCACTTTATGGTATATCTACTATGATAGTTGGTGCGCCACAATTTCTGGACATAAGAAAAACAACTTACTCTTTATAGCTTCTTATATCCTGAAATCTCTCGAAGCACTTAAAAGTATTCATTGTCAATTATAGTGCCTGTATATTGTAGACAAATGCAATAGCCGTTTTGCACATGGCAAGATCTACAAACAGCCATTGAATCTTTAATGTCCACCTGAAGATGGGCAGATGGGACCTTCGTTTAATATCTCATTTGAAGGATAGCACTTTGAACATTGCAATACTCTCCCATTATCTATTTATCTGGGGGCTTTTTGGCCAGGAAACTATTCTTTTTTGGAATAGTGTCATGGGATCTTTAACAAATACAACAATTGTTGGTATCCACCTGTACAGATAGAGGGGGCTCGAGTTAATATCCAAAGGACAGCACTTCTGGCACTTGAGTGTCACTTTGAGCTCAAAGGTTTGGACTGTGAATAAAATTCTAAAATATAAATCAGACATTAAAAATGTGTGAGCTGAGATAACCAGTTTCAGAGAGCTATTTAACAATGGGAGGGCAGAGTAGACATTACAGCCAAGAGAAGTAAGCCAACATCAGGAGTATTTCCATCACTATTAGATAGTGATCAGGAATCTTGGCTGATTTTCTCCTCCCTAACCCTGAGACAAGGAAATTGTAAATGTCTAACTGAAAGCTGCCCGACTCATAGACCCAGGCATAGAGTAACTTTGTGTTATGTGGCCTATTGTTCACCAGCCAATGTCTTTATCCAATAGGCCATTGGAGAGACCTGATCTATTTACCTGTTATTTGCAAAGTTTTCAGAAGCAGCGGAGCAAGAGGACATGAGTTCAGGATTCTGAAGGGCAATTTCAGAACAGACACCAGAATGTTTTTCTTTCTTCAGAGGGTAATAAGTGACTTGGAATGGGTTACCAGGAAAGACATCTGAGACCAGAACACTGGGGTCATTTAA